TTACCATTTAATAAGTCGTTTACCAAAAATAGAACAAGACAGAAATTTTTAGGCATTAATGTTGTGTTCTTTGACGAGCGTTAATGAAAGCCTATCTACTGATTACGGGAGACTATCTGTGATTGTAAGATCTACTATTTAAATTTTATAGTTAGTAGTTAGCTAATATAGAGTTTGCCTATAGATCCAGCTGTTCTTGATAAGAGGCAAACGAATCTATCAATAGTGTTTGCCTGCGGTAAACATGGACTTTGGATGTAGCTAATAAAAAATACGCTTTTAGGAACACAGCGTGAAAATCGCATTCAATTTGATACAGTAGTTATTTCGTGAATCCGGCATAAAAATACAGAGAGACAGACGAAAGTTCTAAACATTATTGTTTTTGCCTTTATTACTCTAATATATTTCAAGACGTTACATATCAATATTTCTTAAATATTCCCTATATTTCCTTCATTTCCCGTAGGTGTCGTAAGACGTAACTAAGGGAACGTAACGGTCTAGGAGTGGACAGCAGTATCCCTCTTAAAACATTATCTCCAGGTTCTAATTGCAGTTGGCAACTCAGAGTATATTCCTTTTAAAAAGGCCGGCAGCATACCTGCAATGCCGCTGGTGTTGTGGCTGATCATAGGCGGCGGTAGTCACTTACCATCAGGTGAGCCGCATGCTCGTTTGCTCCTGTGTTGTAAAAAAAAAACTCACCTGCTAAGCTTTGCAACTGTTGGCAAAATTCCCCTTATGTGGGAGGCACTCACCAGTGGTCAGTTACCGCTTGATATGATGATGATATCACAAATATAGTTACAATTTTATCATATGTATTCACCAGAGGGAGACTTAGTTTACTAGTAAAGTAGTTTGCTTTGGGTACCTCTGTCCCATTCGTGTTTCAACCGTAAAGCAGTTGTGTTTGAATGGCTGTGTTTCGGTTTGAAGGGTGGGATATGGCGTGAATTTACAGGGTACAGAGGAATAACACCTGAGTTCTTAGGAATGGCAACGCATGGGGACGCGAAACATATATATATATATATATATATATATATATATATATATATATATACTTTGTTATGTCCATGATACCGCTAATGTCTATAGGCGACGGTTACCACTTTCCATCAGGTGAATTGTCAGCTTGATTTCCATTCTAAATTTTATAAAAAAAAATCATTATTCTAGACAAATTCTGAGAAAAATCATTATCCATCAGGTTGGCCGTCAGCTTATTTACTATTCTAAGTTGTATAAAAAAAATGTATATAGATGTTATCGTTGTAACCATAACGATAAGAAAAACCATAAATACGCTGTAAGCGTGCGGCTCTCAGACCGTGACTAGATCGGCCACGGATATCTGTAACAGCAACATAATTCAGATCATATCTTAAGACAATTATTTAGTTTGTAATGTACTAATAAAGGGTTTAGTATTATAATATACTTAACATTTACAATGTACTGTTGGACTCGTCACGATTTTTAATAATCAAAACCTTGTATTTATTACACGTAACTACCATTTTCGTAACTCACAAAGCTTGTTACGAAAATGAACTTTATAATTTAAAAATATCTATAATATGCGAAATATTATAGATATTTCTATATCATCATTATATCCGTCATTAATTGTCTACTGTAACAAAGAACATAGGTTTTCCTTTGCCACGTTTGATAGGCGGGTTGGCATTCGCAGTTTGGCTTCAATGATGTTTTAAGAGGGCCCTAGACCCTCGATTCCTCGTTAAGTTCCCTTAGTCATCTCTTACGACACCTATGGCAAAGGAAGGATTGGACCATTTTATGCTGGAACCACACGGCAATATATATATCTATACTAAGATATAAAGTTGAAGAGTTTGTTTGAAAGCGGTAATCTTTAGTGCTAGTAGTTGGGTTTGAAAAATACGCTGGCGGGGCCCCAGTGACATATGATAGGAGAAAAAGAAAAGGCGAATCAGTTAGCTTATCGTGATTAACACACTTGGAATTCTTTTTTTTTATACAACTTAGAATGTCAAACAAGCTAACGGCCCACCTGACGGAAAGTGGTAACCGTCGCCTATAGACATGAGCAGTACCATGGACATAACAGAGTATACTGTTTCGCCCATGATACCCCCCATGTGTTGCCATTCCTGAGGACTCAGGTGTTATTCCTGTGTACCCTGTAAATTCACGCCACATCCCACGCTTCAAACCAAAATACAGCCATGCAAACACAACTGCTTTACGGTTAAAACACGAATGGAACAGAGGTACCCAAGCAAACGACTTTTGTACAAAGTCTCCCTCTGATCAGCACGATGGTTTCCAGGGGGGGAGGGGGCTATGAGTAGGTCGATCTGACAGGGTATTTTGCGAGCAATGGGACTGGTAGTCCGCATTACTAACAATGCCTTTTCCTTCCCAGTTCCCATTGCAAGTCCCGTCAAGTCAACCTCCGCGTGATTGCCCTTGGTGGTTACATCGTGATTAATTCCTAATGAATTCGTCACGATGGGTAACTGACTTGTTTTCAGTATCATCACTTTATCCATTACTAGTACTCCACTTTTTTATTCAATCTTCACGTATAAAAATAGCTATTTGTATGTTTCCAGATATTCGTTGTCTGTTGTGGAAACAGCGTAAACTTGCTGGTTAATTGCTGTGATTTTATGAAAGAAAAATCTACTTTTTTGTATGCGAGTATTAAGCGTTCAACTCAAAAAGGGCATATTATAAAGTTTAAAAAGTTATATTGAGATAACGAGCAACTTTGTACGTTTATACGTAATAGGCGTTTTATATTACTATTTTAATTGGTGCTGAGTTATTATGACAGTCTATTGTTGTCGTGTTTTGCATCTTATTTGCTTATAAATTGGTGTTGTATGATGAGAAGTAGTAGTAGAGTACAACATATATATATATATATATATATATATATATATATATATATATATATATATATATATATATATATATATATATATATATATACCTGTATATTCCGTGTGATCCCAGCATAGAATGGGCTACCCCTTCTTCTCCCGTGGATGTCGTAAGAGGTGACTAAGAGAACTTAATGATCGAGGGATGGACAGTAGCGGCCCTCTTAAAACATCATCAAATCCTAATTGCGGTTGCCAACCCGACAGTCAAGTATGGCAACTGCTAATAAAACTCCCCTTACAGGGGAGACTTTTGTTCAACAGTGGTCAGTTAACGGGTGATATGATGTGAGGATGAAATTATGTCCACATTGCAGTTCATATTTATTGGCAACGGTTACCACTTTCTATCAAGTGGACCGTCAGCTCGTTTGCAATTCTGTGTTGCATATAAAAATACCTTGACCCAGAGATTAACGAATCTGTGTCGAGAGATATCCTGCACGTACAGTTACCCTATAAACATAACGATATCGCATCGATACCGCTACGCGCTAGCTGTACGACCCACATCAGTCGAGTCGAGACGACGGAGAACTAGTCTTGGATCGATACCGATGAACAGTTACATTGATATGAATCAATATCGATTTCTTTTAGTGTTCAATTAAATGTTTTTTTTAGGTTCTATTAATAATTATAAATGTTAATGTTATTCAATCGCGCTAAAACTGTTCATTGGATTTGAGTGAAATTTGGTACACAGATAGATCATGTACTTTTACATGATACTTTTATCTTAAATCATGCGGGGAAAGTCGTAGTATATAGCTCGTTAGTTTAGTTTGCTAGTAGGATTTGTTATTTTACTTAATCATGTTTAATTGACTGAACGGAATTCAATTAAATTCAGTACATAAATAGACAATATTTTTATTTAACACAAAAGGTACTTTAGCTATGTATTCGCGTGATTTTGGTATATCCATAGCTAGTATACATAGCTAGTATTTTTTTAATATTTTCTGTCTTTACTAGTTTTTAATATTTACCCAAAGAGGGTTGACGTCAGGCAGGCAGCCGGTCGTAAAACTAAAAGCCAAATCGTTTTGTAATATGGATAAAAACATATTATGCTGACCCCAAATAATAATTGGGATAAGGGTAGGAAGATGATGATGACTAGTTTATAATATGAGACTTGTTGCATTTGTTACTTCTTGGCATCTCAATGGCTTATCAAGTTTCCATGAAATTATACATATATCCTTATATTATCATTTGGGATGTCGAGGAACAGAAGCTACATTTTATTTTGATTACTCGGAATTTTAATCAACAATAAATCTTACTAATATATATTTTTTTATATGCAACTTAGAATGGCAAACAAGCTATAGACATCGCCTATAGACATGAGTAGTACCATGGACATAACACAATATACTGTTTTGCTCATGATACCCCCCATCCGTTACCGTAATATAATAAAATTTTAACTAGACGAGACATCGTTACCTCATACGTGGGGTATATTTAGGAATAATATTAGGGGTCTTAATAAGACAAAGAGTCTATACTTAGAAATTCTATTTGTCTATAGGTTTGTTTTGGTATTAATTTAAAATTATTGTACCAAATTTGATGCAGTTTTCAAAGTTGTATTCTTGAAAGTCTAATGTTAAATCGGATGTTTATATATCATTTAAAAATGATCTATTTTATTTATTTACTTGCTACTAGAATACACGCGTACGAATTAGCAGGTAAAAAGCTAGTATTTTTTTAAAGAAATAAGTAAATTTGGATTTTTATAATATCTAGACCGATCAAGTTAAAATTCTAAAAGATTTTTTTTAGTTCATTTATATGTCATTTATTTATTTATTAAATGAACCGGCAAACATTATATTACTCCCTACTTATGCTGTCATGTCCATTATTTAGATAAATACTATCCTATTTCCCAAGTTAGAATACACAGTCCATATTTACAAATACAAAAATACTTTCATTGTAGAAACTCTCAAGAATTAAGTTAGAATTAGAATTAGAAGCGTGGATTGTAATTTTATTTTATTATTTATTTGTTTAACATTTATTTTATTTCTATTTCAGTGCTGTTTTTGTGTGTGGGGTTTAGCAACGCCCGGTGGTTGCGCAGTTCAAGATCTGTTCAACCCAAAGAGTCCAGTTTCGTGGGGGAGGCCACCAATGAGTTGAGTACGGCGCTCTTCCAGGTAAATTATAATTTCTTACTTTTGATATTTCTCTACTAGCACGAGGATTCCCCCCATAGCAGGTGATTTGCGTAAGGTTTTATTTCGAGTAATATAAGGAAAAATATTTGTTTTAATATAAATATATTTTAGATGATACAAAAAGCGTGTGAAGCTGGAGTTGTTGTTATTGTTAAGCTGACTGACCCGACAAACGTTGTATTGCTTTCAACCGCTACCTACCGATTCTATTTTCTTAACGGAATTAAAATTTATTTACTTTACTTTACTGTACTTTTGTTTATTACTTTACTTGTAATGTAATAAACAAAAGTTCATTAAAACTGGTTGAGCGATTTGTGAGATCTGTGTGAATGGATATCGTGACAAGGGATTTTTATGTGTTAAGATTTGTAATAAAAGAATCCGTTAGTTCTTTTTATAATTTTTTTGCGGCACGATATGGCGTGATATTATCATCTGGAGCTATAATTATCAACCACAATGATTTGACGAGAAATTAAAAGTATTTTAACTTTAATGAATAATTTGAATAATGTTAGTGTAGGCTTAGGTACTTTTTTTTCGATACTATATATACTATACATAAAAACATAGAATACACAAATCTGATGTTTCATGAAAGCAATGCAAAAATGTACAACTCGTATGTTGAACAATAAACCAATATATTATTTTATTTTCAGAGCTACATTGATGACGATAAAGATATTGCCTTTTCACCGCTTGGTTATGCAGCTATTCTGGCTATTTTAGCAGAAGGTGCTAAAGGTGACACTAGACAACAGCTGGTCTCTGCGCTTCATCTTCCACAAGATGAGCAACTCACTCGAAAGGCCTTTTATTATATTATGAATAGACTGAAAAATACAAATGAATATAAATACAATAAGCCGGAATTGAAAAATTACTTTTACGTATTCAAGAATTACACAATAAATGAGGAGTATAAGAAAATATTAGAAGACTATTATTTAACAGAAGTTAGGTCTGTAGAGAGATATGGTGAAGCTGATCATTCTTGCAAAGATGAAAATTGTTTATCAGAAACGAAACCCAGTGAGAAAGAAGATAACTCAGAGTTGATGCCTAAAGAAACAGATGAGAAATTAATATCTTTTGCAATTGATGATAAACCAGAAAAAGTGGATGTTACTACTACTGAATATAAGCCTGCAAAAAATATTAAGGAGAAAATTAAACTGGTCAAGACTTATCCTAAAAAGCAGGATGCAGAAGATGATGAAGAAACTATGGTAGCTGTAGAAGCTAGAAATCATGCAAGAAGTATTCAAATATTGGATGACAAAATGGATATAACATCCAGCATGTCTGCTAATTATGTTGCAAAGAAAGTTAGCCCATGTAAGTATATTTTTTTTTATAATTTCTCTGTTTATTATAAAATTTATGCTTATAATAATAACAATTAACATTAATATTTTGTCTTAATTGACTACCAACCCAAAGCTAAAACTGTTAAGTTCAGGAAGCTGAAATTTGATATATAGTTTTATTTTGTAATATGGTAAGCAAATGTTAATAAAAGATTTTGAAAATTTTAACTTATACACGACACCACGCGTTCAAAGCCGCGAAACAGAATGCGAACAGTTAGTATTTCATAAAATTCGACAATGAAAAGCTAAAGATATAATCTAGAACTAAGTCAGTTTAAAAGAAATGAAAAATGGTTAAAGTTTGTGCAGTTATTATCAGTGATAAGAGCATTGATCCCAGTGTAGAAGTAGTAGTACTCAATTAGAGTAAAATGTTATATTCATAGTTCATCAAATGTCTTATAATAAATAAAGGATAATTAAACCATTTAGGTTTGATTTCTTAATTGGTTTTAACAAGTATTGAACCTTCTATTTTATTAATGCTATGTCTACTACTTCACTATGGTTATCTTTTAGGACTATAGTTGGAAATATTTAATTTAATTTAATAATTTTTGTTTTAGCATCATCTGAAACCAAATCTCTAATGTTAATTTTCAACGGCCTGTACTTCCGTGGTTCGTGGAAACAGCCGTTTGATGTCGTTGAACCGGGTGTCTTCTATAAATCCAATACTGAGAAGAAACAAGTCCCTATGATGAAAGGAAGAGGTGTCTATAGGACTGCATCACTGCCTGGACTTGACAGTGAAGCTATTCAACTACCATACGATGTGAGTACGATTTTAATTTTGAAAATTTCTTTAATTTAAATACACTGATTTAGATGATTAATTGCATATAATGTTGTGATAGAATTACGATATTCTTTATTATACACACAAAAGGTTATTGAAATGTAAAAACAAACATAATAGTGCACAAAGGCGAGCTTATTTCCAATAGAGATTTTTTCCAGCAAACCCAATATGAGAAAACTGACAATTTATTAGTAGTTACAGTCATACATTTATACCAATCGACTTAAATGTCCTAGTTAAAAATAAATAATTATACAATTTCAATAAGGAAGATCTTGATTGATAAAAGAGTATCATGTTTCTCTGCTCTAAATAGCTGTATTTCTCTCTTCTTTTTCACTACACATCTTTATAATTTTCAGTGAAATTTATTCATTTCATATTTTGTTCCCTTCCTGTTTGAAGTTTGTGCGCAGTTGATTCGTAAATATAGAAATTATGAATATGCTAATCTAGGAAGTTGTATGTGTACATTTTTTTTCATATGAGTTTAATTGATTGACTAACATACATTTAATTATCCTAATATCACAGTTATTGTATTAGGTAGTAGGTTTGAGAATGTTAATTGTATTATCAGTACATTTTTTTTATGAAGAATGGCAAATAAGCTGATGGCTCACCTGATGGAAAGTGGTAACCATCGCCTATAGACATACATACATATATTTATTCCTTGCATCGTTGATCATGTTATCCTGTATTATTTTATAGTAATTTTTTTATATCATAAAGGTGGTCATAAGCATATAGTCCGTCTGATGGTAAACGGTCATTGTAGCCTACGGACGTCAGCAGCATTAGCAATATCACACGTACGATCACGTACATGTTGCCGACATCGAAGAAACCTTAATACACTCTTTTTGAAGAGTCCTATACTGCAGTCTCTAGGGAAAACCTCCACTTGTCTTCTTATCAATCTCTATTTTCTATTTTTCAGGGTGGACGTTACGCATTGATGTTGGTGGTGCCACGGTCACGTGATGGTCTCACGCGTCTCATCGCAGACCTGCCGTCGAGCCCTATATCTGAGATCGAAGACAGTCTGCGCGAAGAAGAGCTGCAAGTCTCCTTGCCGACGTTCTTCGTGGAAACCACCACTAAGCCCATCGCTGCTTTGGCTAAGGTATTTGAAGACTTTTTAGAAACTGATTTAAAAATCTAAGAAATATCTAATGTATCTAATTTAGCTTTTCTAGTAACGATGGAAAAATATAAATTGAATTAAATTAAATACGGAATGAAATAAATATTGCAGTACTTGATAAAAGGGAAATAAATATCATTTGCAAATGAATAAGAGAGAGCGACAAACTCTAATCTTTAACATTATATTTTGTTATCCTCTTTTCCTTAATAATAATATTCTTCATTTACAAAAACATATTAGTTACAATTATTTTTTTTATTTTTTATTTTTAAGTACTGCTTTTGAATTAGAGAGTTTGTGTTTTGAGAAGTAGTTGAATACTGTTTAATTAACACTATATGTTTTTGTTTAAAATGTTTAAAATGAAAAAAAAAAGCATAATCTTATTGAGAAATTTTAAATATTCTTATGTGGTACTTATATACTGCTTATTAATCAAAATTGATAACTTTTATTAACCTACTCAAGAAAAACACTAATATTTTGTGCTAACAATGCTTTTTTTTTTATACAACTTAGAATGACAAATCCCATCCGATCCGAAAATCCCATCCGATGGAAAGTGGTAATGTCGCCTATAGACATAACCAGTACCATGGACATAACAGAGTATACTGTTTCGTCCATGATACCTCCCATGCGTTGTCATTCTTGGGACACAGGTGTTATTCCTCTGTAAATTCAATTATTCTTAAGTAATTTAACTAGAATTGTTTTAATTATCAGTTCGGCGTGAGCAGCATCTTCAGTCGTACTCACGCGGAGCTGACCGGCGTCTCCGAGATGGAGGGTCTGTTCGTACAGGAGCTGGTGCAGTATGTCGCCATCAGGGTTGAGAATAACGACGCATCGGTTTCTGAACTATCAGGTCAGTCAAATTTTTCTGTGATATTTGGAATAACAAACATGCTTTCCTCCTGATGGTAAGTGGTAACCGTTGCCCGTAAACCGAACAGTGTCACGAATATAGCATAATACACTGTGATATCGATGGGACCCCTCATGTGCTGCCATTCCTGAGGACTAAATTATTATATCACCGTATTTTGTAATTTCACTGCTATATTTTTTTTAATGGGTGAAAATGGAGTGGTTACCACGCCCACGCTATTGGTATACACCGACTAGGCACCAGTGGAAGATGATAGGTGAGAATAAATGCAGGTCAGTTGGCCCACCATGATGAATTCAACAAGAATTAAACATGATGGTTTCCAGGGGGAACCACGTGGAGGTCGACCTGATAGGGTATATTGCTAGCAATGGGGCTATTAGACATCATTACTAACAATCCATTTCCCCCCTTACTACCATATTGTACACACACTCTTCAAACCGAAACAATCATACATACTTAACGCTTCATGGCGAGAAGATGGGATTGCCAATAATGGGGACTATCGGCCCCATTGTTAACAATATAGTATATATTATCCGGTCAACCTGACTGCGGTTCTTATTAGAAACAATCGTGATGAATACACCTGATTATGATAATGGGTTACCTATTTTTGCTTTTTCATTCTTACCTATCATCACTCACTGGTACCACGCGAGCGTCTCGCAACGTAGGCGGAGTTACCGTAGCCGTTATTATCCATTAAAAAAAGAAAGCCATGTAAGAGCAGTTGCTTAATTGCAGAAACCCGTGTAGGACAGAGATATCCACGTAGATGATTTTTGTACAGTTTCCTTCATCTATATTATTCATTAACATTATCATCATCATATCAGCTTTTAACTGTCCACTGCTAATCACAGGCTTCCCTCCCTCCCTTGGGGGGCTTCGCTAGTAGTTGGTACGCTTGGCAGGCGGATTGACAACCGTAGTTAAGCTTTAAAGATGTTTTAAGAAGGACGCTGTTGCCCATCCCTCGCCCTCCCTAAGTCGCCTCTTACGACACCCACAAAGAAGGAGTGGCCTATTCTATGCTGGAATCACATGGCTATTATTATTATATTATCTATATTCATAAAAATAAAATTTTGTTATATATATATATAAATGAATTGCTGTTCGTTAGTGTCGCTAAAACTCGAGAACGGCTGGTCCGATTTGGCTGCCTCAATCGATAAATAAAAGTTTAGATCTTTTATTTATCGATTGAGGCAGTACGAAGTCTGCCGGGTCAGCTGGTAATAAATAAAATCTACAATATTTTAACTATTACACTATTTTGCCAATTTCTTTCAAATAAGGAATTTAGCACCAAAGACAGAGACAGTTCAACAGACAGAAGAGTTCAATAGCTAAAATGGATTTATGACAGATTTGTCGTTTTTATGAATAAAGGCGTTAGTTTAAACTTGCCCTAGCACTTGTACCTTTATAATTCACAAGGGCTGCTCGTATTATTAATCTATTATTTATTTACAGCTAGCAACCCCGTTGGAGAGTCGCTCAAGAATCTACCACTATCTCAGTTGAAGCCGGTCCGTCACTTCAACGTTGAACATCCATTCATATTCTTCATCATGGATTATTTGGACAACTTAATCGTAGCGAGCGGCAAGATCGTTGACCCCCAACAGCATAAACCAATAGAAATTTAATTAAAAAAAAAAAAAACTCTATAAATGAAACGATTTTTAAAACTTTGGATTCCAAGTTTAAAATAGTAGTCAGTCGTCATGTTCTTTTTTTGTAAACGGCTAGTTTATTTTACATTTTGTAATTCGTTTAGTTTCAAATGTTCTTTTTTTTAAGCATTTAACTATTAATTTATTTTCTATTTTCGTTAAATCGTATTCTGCTGTGAAATTAAATACTCTCTGTTTCAATGCAAATTAATGAATAGGTAACAATATTTTGTTGAAATTATCATAGAAACACTATCTAAATTAAATTAGAAACAAATCGAATCATTCATTCGATTAATCGATTTTTATATATGTATTACTGTTAGACATCAGCAAATAGTCTTATGGTTAGATTAGCTATACGTTTGTTTACATTTTCACTAAATTCTATTGAAATAGTCTATTATAATAATGAATATATAAACTGAGATTTCTACCCAAAAAAAAAAAAACCAGATGCATTTGATAACGAACAAGTACACAGCTTAGGTAAGTTAGTAGTCTAATTATTTAGTTAAGTAGATGTTATTTATTTTATTTAATAATATTATGGATGATGTGATTTTGTGATTAAATTATTTATTTATGTGGTGTTCGTGTTTTTATTTGGTTTTTGTAATTTAATCCAGCATACCAGTATTATTTCATGAAGTGGCGTTTGTTTGAGTCCTGCAAATTAAGCAAATGTATCGACATATATCTTAAGATGTTTTATCATATAACATAGACAAAAAAGAAGAGTATTGAAATGAAATAAAATGATATTTATTTTTAGTGAGTGTAGTACATAATGGGATGAAATTAATGATATAAAGTAGCTTTCACATTCAACTAGTTTGGCTGCATGCCAACATGTTTATACATAATTCATAGTAATGATGATAATTTATTTTTTCATTAATTTTATTAATAAAAAACAAATTAAAATTGAATGTTACCATTTAAATTAATTATATTTAATCAATGGAAGTTTATTAATTGTATTTTTTCAATGATTCCTTCATTATTCAATCTATCTATTATTTCGTATTTATCATTCATTTTATATTTAATTATTAATGGACTAAAACATTTATTATTTGGTCATTTGAATAATTTATTCTTAAATAATTTTTAACAGAGAACAGTAACTGTATTATAATTAGATTTGATTATAATTTTGTATGCAGTATGAATAACTGTTATTGTAGTACACGCGTGTTTTCATTTTTGATAATAAAATGTTCCTAGAATGTCTTACAGAAAACCTATAAAATTCGTCTTTTTTATAAATAGGTATGAATGCATTTTTACAAAGATGCATCACTTGAATATGTACATTGATGGGACTGTTAGTAGTTTAAGCTGTAGAAATAGTGGTGCATAGGATGTCATTGGCTTTTTATTATACGTGGTACAATTACACTCTATTTGAGATATAAATGTTTTTTTTTATACCACTTAGGTGGCAAACACGCATACGGCTCACCTGATGGTAAGCGATTACCGTAGTCTATGAACGCCTGCAATACCAGGGGCACTACGCTCGCGTTGCCAACCCTGAAGAAACCTTTTCTGAAGAACCCTATACTTTAGTCTCTTAAAAAAACCTCGACAGCAAACTCATTCTATAATTTGAGCATTCGTGGAAAGAAACATCTCTTAAACCGCGCTATAGGTTCTAAGGTATGGGGATGAACTCCCTGTCGATGGCAAGCTGTATAATTGTAGGTGATCGTGGACATCATATTAAACAATTTCTCTGTGTACATTCTATTACACAAGCGGTAGAACACGCAGAGTGAGGCAAAATTACATTAATTATATTATTATTAGAAATTGAGGGTAGTAATAATATTATAGATGATCGTAATGTTGCATCATTATTTAAAATTACATTGATATTGCATTAAAGCTTTTGATAATAATACAATTATAAATATTAATTGAATTAAAAAGAAAATATAATCTTTTAAAACGACGTGTTTATTTATTTTATTTAAAAAGTGTAATTACAAAAACGTACCGTCCAATGGCAACTTTTTTTACCATTCCATTAACGGTTTGTAATTCATATTTTGTAACAACAACGATCACGCTGGACGTGATCGCTGGTGGTGATTCTTTTTTTAAAAATTCAAATTATTTAAAAACTACAAAAGTGTTCTAATGGCAGTGAATAAAGAGAATAAATACGGAAATGAAAAAACTACAACTACAAGCAGAATACCATTACCAATACATCCTTTACCAGCTCTGCCGAAACATTTAATGGAAAACAAGATGCAACCGAAAAAGCTCATAATGAATGAAAGACATCCGTTAAAAACATTAAATAATCAATCTCTGTCTGTAGCAGGCCCAAGCAAATTGAGACAAACAAAGAAAACTGTGCTGAAGATCGACTCGAGACATGTAACATTGCGCCAAGGTAAAGAAGAATTGGATTGGGAATTCAAGGTATTTAAAGATGAATTACAAAATGACAGTGTCATAAGTGGAAGCGAAGATGAAAGTATTAATGATGAAGAATATAAGAAATTTGTGGGGACCCGACGGAAGAATTCACTTGGTGAACCTCGAACGGCGGTGACTCCTGCGCTGACATCTTTGGAGCCTAGTAAAGTGAGAAATATTAAAAGGAGTTTGAAGAGACCGCACAGTAGAGAACTCCAGGGTTTATCTCCGGCTAAGGGTCAGGAGAAAGGAGAAGACAAGTTTCGGCGTCAGTTAAGTTTCAATGAACCGTTAGAAGAGAGACTTTTATCACCAGATTTTTGTAAGTAAAATTGAAATAATAATAGTTTCTAATAGCAATTGTAATAAAATAAAACATACCTTCTTCGATTTTACGTTATATAGTATATATACCCGCATTTCTAAAAAAAAGGTAATTTATAATTATAAATAATTTTAATAGAATTTTATGGACATTAAAATTTATTATTATTATGGACATTTTATAAATATTAAAAATATTCTCTAAAAGAAAATGATTAATTATCTAATATTTATAATTAATTGATTTTTTTAATTGAACTGCTATTAAATATCAACATTCTGACTTATTTATATATTTATATGCTTTTGTAAATTCACTTATATTATAGATATTAGATTATGACAAAAATGTACATAGGTGGACTTATCCCTTAAAGAGATTTCATCCAGTCAACCTTGAGAACCCGAAAGGAGAAAGTGTTTATAGGGTTTGTATATAAAGCATAACATATATGGTGCAATAATGGGGGGAAAGGGATTGTTAGTAATGGAGACTGAGAATCCCATTGCTAGCAATATACCCAACCAGGTCGACCTCCTCGCGGTTCTCCCTGGAAACTATCATGGTTAATTCCTGACGAATTCATCATGATAGGCTAACTGGCCTGTTTTCATTCTCATCCATCATCCTTCACTGGTGCCCCGCCAGCGTATCCCGTTTTTATTCTGTTCCACTGAAATATATTTACAACATTTTTTTCCGCTTTCATAGTATATTCAATGTTAATTGACCTTAATTTAAGTAGTCTACTTAAATTAATTATTTACTATTAGTGATATATAAAAATGAATTGCAGGAAATCAGTGGATGCAGGTGGCTCAGGACCGTTCGTTATGGCAGTCTATGGGGGAGGCTTATGTCCAGCAGTGGACGGATAATGGCCGAAATGATGATGACGAGAATAATACATAAAAATATAATTATAGTAAAGAAAGAATTGGTCGTGTGGTCCCGACGTAGAATAGACCACTCCTTCTTTCCCGTGCGTGTCGTAAGAACGGACTAAGGGAGGGCGACGGATGGCCAGCAGCGTCCCTTTTAAAACATCTCTAAAGCTCGACTACTCTTGCCAATCCGCATGCCAAGCATGGCAACTACTGGAAAAACCCCCAAGAGGCAGACTTATTCAGCAGTGGACAGTTAAATGCTGATATGATGATGATGATGAAAGAAAAAATAATATAATTGTTTTCCAAAACAATAAATATATAAATTAAGTAACCTATTACTAATGTTAATATTCGTTTACAGTGAAACAGTCCTATACAAATAGCTTGAATCGTGACTACGCAACGGACATGTTCGTGTACTTGATCGAAGTGGAGGAGAGGTCTCCCCTGCCCAGGATATCGAGTGTCATGCGCGCATGCGTCGTAAACTGGTTAATGAAAGTTCATGTAAGTCTGTTGATGTATAACGTCCATTTTTTTGAATAACGGAATATTTATACTATATAATAGCAGTAGTTCTGTGGTTCTTGTACAGAATGGGCTACCTTTGGCTTTTCCGTGGGTATCATAAGATGTGATCCAGGGAATTAATGGTTAAGAGGTGGGTAGTAGTGTTCCTCTTTAAACGTCAACAAAGCCTAACTGCGGTTGACCACTCATTTGCCAAGAATGGCAACTACTGGCAAAATCCTCCAAGGAGCAGGCTTATGTTCAGCAGTGGACAGTTAACGGTTTATATGTTGATCATGATAGGTATGATTTATGTAGATTTCGGTGACAAATACATAGACACTTCACCTGATGAAAAGTATACACATTGTTTATAGACATAAATAACACTAATAAAGGAAACGAGGTTTTATAATCAAAATGTATTATTAAAAAGATTGATCAATATGAAGAACGCGAAAGAGATCTGTTTGAATTAAAGCATTGGCGTTCCGTTATTTCTGCCTAACCTTATCGCAAACAGGTGTGACAGATATGTATGTATAATTTTATTTTGCCCCTTTATACAATCACACATTCGTTTTCCGCATAATATATTTTTTTTGTTATAACAGAGTAATACGAACAGTTACATGTTTCTTTTTCGTCTTACTTTTATTTTTTTTTTCTTCAATTTTTTTAATGTAACATACATGTTGCCAATCTTGCGGTATACCATAACTATCATCGTATCAGGCATTTATGATGGTAATGATGGCGATTGTGCTTCAAAAGTAGTGTAAAAAGCACTTAGTGAGCTGGCATAGTGCGGTCAATCGTTGATAATAGAGCATTCTCTTTTTGATTTATCGTATTAATGGACCATGTTTGTCTTTGTATTAGTTCAAAAGGTCACATGTCGTGGTATAATGAGAACTTAGATTATATAGATAGAGTGTCTCCATACAAATGCTTCGAGAAAAGCGGGTCAACTTTTTCATACAATTTTACGTGATAAATAGTTATGAGTCATTCTTTTATGACTTCTATATTTATATTGTCTTATAATTTTAACATCTTTTTAATATGTAATAACTCATTTTATTTATTAAATATAATTAAATATATTCTAGATACGTTAAGATAAATTGTGTGTGAGTGTTTTTTTTTTATTCAACTTAGAATAGCAAACAAGCTGACGGCCCACACTGATGGAAAGTGGTAACTGTCGAATATAGAAAAAACCATGGACATAACAGAGTATACTGTTTCGCCCATGATATCATGCGTTGCCATTCCTAAGGACTCGGATTTATTCCTCTGTACCCAGAAAATTATATATCCCACCCTTCAAACCGAAACACAGCCATGCAAACACAACTGCTTCACGGTTGAAACACGAATGGGACAGATACCCAAACAATCGACTTTTGTACAAAGTCTCCCTCTGGTAAGTATATAGAACACTGATGCTCTATCTAAATAATCTAAGTAGAAAAACAATTATTTAATTATTTTTTAAACCCACAGGGTCCAGACGGCAATCCAACTACAATTCAATCGGCTTGTTGGTACCTGGACTCGGTGTTAAGCACGGGGCAGGTAGAGGTCCATAAATTGCAGTTACTAGCAGCCGCGTGCTACTGGATCGCGCAAAAACTGAACGGCCCCGTGCTGTCCGCTTCCAGACTGGTTAGATTTTCCAATAACGCGTTCTCCTCATATGATTTGATGATGGCCGAGAAACAAATTTTGGAGAGATTGGTGAGTATTTTTTTTAATGGATAACAATGGAATGGTTACGCCGCCTGCGCTAGCGGTATACGCTGACAGAGCACCAGTGAAGGATGATAGGTGAGGATGAAGCAGGTCAGTAAGCCCATCATTACGAATTCAATAAGAATTGTTCACGATGGTTTTCAGGAGGAAACACGTGGAGATCGACCTAATAGGACATATTGCTAGCAATGGGGCTGTCAAATTCCATTACTAACAATCCCTTTCCCCCCGATTGGTGAGTATTATACAATGTAATTTTACTTTGAAATAGCAATCCGATCAGATAGTAAATTACTAGCCTTCATCGGTGACTTCGTCGGCCTGACTAGATAAAAGTAGTCGTGTGTCCCTTTCCATTCTGATTAGCATGTGTCTACCAAATTTCAAGACAATAGAAGGAAAAGGAAAGCGTTGTTGATTGACTTGAAGTATTAGATCGACCTCCTCGCGGTTCTTCCTGGATATTATCGTGATTGATTCATTGTTGAATTAGTCATGATGGGACCTTACTGACCTGCTTTATCTTCATTTATCATCCATCCCTCACTGGTGCCTCGCTAGAGTATAACGAGAGCGCATACGGTATATCCGTAAAAAAAATTCAAGACGATTGTAAGGCGTGAAGAAGTAATTAATATTCACACTCATTTTCACATTTATAACATTGTACTAAGAATTATAATATTAAATAATAGCTATTTATACGAGCTTTACCCGCGATTTTGTCCACGTGAGTGGGATAAAAAGTAGCCTATATCCTTCTCCATCCAATAGGGTACGTGTATAACAAATTTTATAGCGATTGGTTAAGCCGTTAATGCGCTATGAAGTAACAAACAAACAAATCCACTTTCACATTTATAATATTAGTAAGGATTTTTAATTTATAAATAATATTAAACGTTATATTAAAAGCAATAATAAAGTAATTAATTATTTTAAAATATAAATGCCTGTAGTGTGTTGGAGTTTGATTATCTGTAAACTGCTGGTAACAATTAATAAATAAAATAAATAAATAAGTATTGAGTTCATGGAAATTTGGATCATGTATACATGAATTATAACTGAAAATGCCAAACCTGTTCTAGAGTGGGTAAATAACTATATAATGATAATAGTATTAAATATACAATTAATTAATAATTAAGCGATTGCTAATTGATGACATGACATAATTAGATTACCTATTTACCGGTACTAATTGTATTTAAAAAATATAAGAATTTATTGTTGAATTTTGAAGTATATGTAAAGATATTAAGAAAAATGGACTAGACAAAGTCGATCTTGGTAGTCAGCGGACTTGACACACTACTTCGCTTTTTGATGGTCGTAGGTTTAATACAGTACAAATTTTTATATTCATGTGTACGACTGTTTGTATTGGGTGTTTATATATTATGTACTAGCTATACCCCGTGGCTTTGCCCGCTTGAGTACTGACTCTTATATACTGATATAAATAATTCGTATATATATATATATATAAAATTTCAAGATACAATCTACTTATTACAGAGCGGTGGACAGTGATGACGTGATCAATGATTTTAGCAAAGAAAATGTATTGTACAGCGGCCAAGAAAGAAAGGCATTTGTCAAAAACATAAAATCGAAATTATAAATTAGAACATTCTAAAAATAAATCTGTATAAAAAAATATATAATACAATGTAAGGAGGTTTAGGAACATTACTCGCGGGACAAATTTCTTTCAAAATTCAGTAGTTTTTACATAAAAGAATAATAAACATCTATTCATCATGCATATATAACCTTCCTCTATCTATTTACTTGTATTTCTTGTACTTTGCAGAAGTTCCCTCGGCAACCAGTTGTAGCTCAAGAGTACATATCTTACTTATCCTGGTGGTGTGACAGCACTCATCCAGGGAAGATCGAAGTGGGTGCTACATTCCTATGCATGTGCGGACTCTTGGTGGATAAGAATTTGTGCAACGAATGCCCTTCAGTCGTCGGTGTAGCTGCTGTCAAGAACGCTCTGTACTTACTTAAGAAACCTGCATTGATTTTACGACTTAAAATGTGCCCTGTGTAAGTGGATTTTAATATTATTATTGACTAACAACTTAGCGGCTTAGGGACTTGGTTTTTTTTTAATATGGGTAGAATAGTACAACCGTAAATGATAGGGTACTATTGAGGATGAAACAATGAGGATAATTAGATCAACTGGCTTGACTCATCGTGAAGAATTCAAAAGAAATTAACGCCAATGGTTTTTAGGGAATCATGTGGAAGTATACCCGATAAATATTTTTTTTATTGTTATTACCAGTTTTATTGTTACCAGAGGGAGAATTTGTACAAAAGTCGATTGCTTGGGTACCTCTGTCCCATTCGCATTTCAACCGTGAAGCAGTTGTGTTTGCATGGCTGTGTTTCGGTTTGAAGGGTGGGGTATGGCGTGAATTTACTAGGTACAGAGGAATAACATCAGAGTCCTCAGGAATGACAACACATGGGGGGTATCATGGGCGAAATAGTATACTCTATTATGTCTATGGTACTGCTCATGTCTATAGACGACAAATAAAGAAAGACGAAAATATAGATTATTATTATATTTTTCATAAAATACCTATGTATCAGTGAATAGTACATGTTTAATAATAAATAATTTAAGCTATAATTCATCTATTAATCCGATGTAACAAATAACAACAACAACCGAATTATCTATACTCGAGAAGTTAACCTCGTACTTGACATAAAGTATGACTGATTTGTGTATATTGATATTTTATATTTATTTATATTATTATATAAATAAATATAAAATTTATAGCAAATTTATATTATCGACAATATTCAATAAATATTTTTTTCTTTATACAACAAAGATGGCAAACAAGCATACAGCCCGTCTGATGGTAAACAGTCACTGTAGCCTATGGACGCCTGCAACATAAACACGCAATTAATTTTTTTTTATAAAATTTAGAATAGCAAACAAGCTGACGGCCCACCTGATGGAAAGTGGTAACCGTCGCCTATAGACATGAGCAGTACCATGGACATAATAGAGTATACTGTTTCGCCCATTATATCCCCCCGCATGCATTGCCATTCCTGAGGACTCAGATGCTATTCCTCTGTACCCTGTAAATTCACGCTATATCCCACCCTTCAAATCGAAACACAGCCATGCAAACACTACTGCTTCACGGTTGAAACACGAATGGGACAGAGGTACCCAAGCAATCGACTTTTGTACAAAGTCTCCCTCTGGAGCATAACAAATTTATATTATTAATAATAATATAAATTTGTTATGCTGGTATGCAAATAAAAATACAATGATCTGGTTTTTATTACAGTAGGCACTGTGACGTCAAGGGAAAAACCATATAGATAATACCATTGCTTCTTACTAACTAACCCGTTTGCCATTATCCTGTCCAAATTCCAATCGTTTCCCACTCTCAAAAGTTAATCATTTTATCAGCCTTTAACTGTCCACTGTTGAACATCACATAATGTAAGTTTCCCCCCCCCCCCCCCCCCTACGATTTTGGGTAGGGGGGGAAGGGATTGTTAGTAATGGGGTCTAATAGCCCCATTGCTATATACCCTCTCAGGTCGACCTCCACACGGTTCCCCTTGGAAACCATCTCGATTAATTCTTTGTGAATTCGTTACTATGAACCAATTGATTTGTTTCATTCTCATCTATCATCTCTTACTAGTGCCACTTTCAGATAATCCATTTATGTCTATTTTGGTATCTGTTTATCTTTATAGCAAGGTTACCATTTCATTATTATCTATTTAAAAAAAAATCAACAGCATCAACAAAAAAATATCGATACCAAAAAAAGATGGTAAATTCTATAAAATTTTAAAAGGAATTATCAATATTCGTTTTGATTTGCGGGTATATCGCGTAACATATTTATATATAAAAAAATAAATACGGGCACTTTGTAGTTTGCATCAAACATTTTTGAAGTCAGTTTTATACTTCTGCGGATATCATCGTTTTTCAATAATATTGTAACCAATGTTTTTGTTCCAAATAAAGAATTATTATTATTATTTATGCAAACTTTATTACTCAGCTATAGCTGGTATATACGCTACTTTGCGTATACTGCACTTACGGGCCGAGACCAAATAAGTGCAGTGTGTGAGTTTTTGTGAGTGTGATTATTATTATTATTATTATTCCCAATTGAGGGCCTTTTGTACGGTCAATATCAAAATTTGATTTGATCATATAATTTAATATATGGGATAATTTAGAGGACCTTTGGGTCGGGTACGGATCATGAGTGGGACTGATTGTTGAATTTTTTTTGTGATACGGTGAAATGTAAAAAAAAAAATATTATATACTTTATACTCGTATGATACTAGAGAACTGCCACGTCATCGATGTTTTTTTTTTAAATAAAATATAGTTTGTTTTTTTTTAATGGGTGATAATGAAATGGTAACACCACCCGCGCTATTGGTATACACCGGCGGGGCACCAGTGAAGGATGATAGGTGAGGATGAAGCGAGTCAGTTAGCTCAACGTGACGAATTCAACAAGAATTGTTCACGATGGTTTCCAGGGGGAACCGCGTGGAGGTCGACCTAACAGGGCATATTGTCAGCAATGAGGCTATCTAACTCCATTACTAACAATCCCTTTCCCCCCTATAGCTTGTGTTGTTCGCTGATAACGCAGATTTGTATAGGTGAAAGAGTTTTTTAAATTGGTATTATTGAGTTTATTCATTATGAATAAAAAAACGAAATTTCTTCATTTTATTATATTGCTTTAGATTTATTTAATTGCGATGCCAACCATGCTAAACTATAAGTATACATATGTACGTAACGGTGTTCAAAGTGTTCATCGATTTTTGAGGTTAACTGTACCTACGCGGCTTTTAACAAATGTTGAACGTGCGTAGAAAACCGGTTTCACTCATTATCAAAAGGTTAAATGCAGATTATATCTGTGACGCACTTGCAATCCATTGCAATTGCAGCCTACCTGCGTCACGTGAGGATTATTGACACAGAATCCTTAGTTTTAAAGAAGTTTTTAAATGCCTTAAAAGAGAACGACATTTATAATTCCACTGCTTTTTGTATGCACTTGTATATTAATCGATATTTCTTTGATTCTATTCATATTTTGATGTTCCTTTTTATGCAGGAGGTTTATTTTATTACACAATAATTTTATCTAAGTTGGAATTGGTTTTAATAATTTTTTTTTATATAACTTAGAATGGCAAACAAGCTGACGGCCCACCTGATGGAAAGTGTAACCGTTGCCTATAGACATGAGCAGTACCATGGACATAACAGAGTATACTGTTTCGCCCATGATACCTCCCATGCGTTGCTATTCCTGAGGACTCAGGTGCTATTCCTCTGTACTCAGTAAATTCACGCCATATCCCACCCTTCAAACCGAAACACAGCCATGCAAACACAACTGCTTCACGGTTGAAACACGAATGGGACAGAGGTGCCCAAGCAATCTACTTTTATACAAAGTCTCCCTCTGGTAATTATTTAGCCTGTATTGATATCTTAACAATATATTATATTCACGTACTGGCCACTAATAAAATTATAAGTACCTACTGGCCGGTAACAATTTGTTCCATTTATTGTTTCGATGAATAAGTTAGTGTTCAACAAATTAGCTTGAGTTAGACAAAGGCGTTAGCTTACTACAGTATCTTTCTTGTTATAGCTACATATATATGCTATTGTAGCTATGTTATAATCATGATTGAGTTATAAACATCTAATAATATTTATAAATAAATTTACTACTTTTTCTGATAACATATTACTTAAGTTTTTGCGAGGAATGTTGATAATTATATATGTACGTACTGGTCTCAGCCTCCCCCAGTAGGTACTTGCACGTTTCCACTTTGCAATGTATGTTATATTTATTTCGTTAAACTTTCATTTTCCCGTTACAACGTTATCTCTAAAATTAAAATTTTGGTTTGATATTACAACAAAACTATTGTTGTAAGCACTAATGTCAACTATTTTGTATTAGAATTATGATACATAGATACGCTTTTACTGTCATTCATCATTTCAGCCCTTAACTGTCCATTGCTGAACATAAGTCTCCTCCATAAGGGGAGTTGCCAGTAGTTGCCACGCTTGGCAGACGAGTTGGCAACCTCAGTTAGACTTTTTAAGATGCTTTAAGAAGGACGTCGCTGCCCATTCCTCTATCAATAAGTTCGCTTATTCTCTTCTTATCCAGATCCACAGGAAAGTAAGGGTGGCCTATTCTATACCGGGACCACATGGCTTATTAAATAGAATCGCTTTACTTTCATACTATTTTGCTTAACTGTTAAATAAAAATTGTTATTTTTGAGAAATTTAATGAACGACACCTCAGAATTGATCCCAATATTAGTCAGCTGGTGTATACCAATAAATAAAATCTTTGACATGTTATTTGCAGGTACAAAGCAGCAGAGAAGAAAGCAACAAATTTATCATCAACGTGTTCAGTTCTACGGAGAGCAGCGCGCGCCCTGGCCTCGCCTATGAACGAGTACAAGGCACCTTTAGAACAATATGGCGTACCACCGCACTACATCGCGCAGAAAATTATTAAAGCGGCCAATGAACTGTGCGCGTCCACGGAAAAAGTTTATAAATAAAATGCAATAACATTTTAGGACTTTATGCTAATGTTTGTGACGGGGAGTAAATGGCTTCTAATTTAAACTCAAATCGAAGATACAACAATAATTTATTTTTAGTACTCTCAGTCCCGTTAGGCGAAGGATTCACGGAACAGAGGGCCTACCGTGAAATATTTTCCGAAAATTCGGGGACGAACGAAACAGAAATTTTTTAAAGACAAAAAATTATTAAAAATGTTAAAATATCGTCCCTTCGGACTTTTATGATAGGATGTATGACGAACGAAATGAACTCCATTTACTGGGTCGATTTCGGTACGAACAAAAACACGAAATTGAGCCCGAAAATTTGGAATTTCATTTCATGGTAGACCACCAGTTTTCAACAGCGCCCGTTGCATATGCGCTTCCATCACTCATTGAATAGCGTATACTGTGGGTACAAATATTGGTATTCAGGGAATATTATATCTTTGAAACTGAATATTATTATTATTATTTTCCATGAAAAAGGGGGGAGGGGAATTATAGCTATACTTATACTAATTTAATTATTAATTTGTCTGTTTGTGTTAGTCTGAATATTTAGAAACATTTTATCATATTTCGACTCGTATTTACTGGGGAAAATTCTAATTTTTAGTAGTAAAACACTTGATAAATGGGATGATATCGTCATAGTCGTAGAATACTGACGGATCTGACAAAGATTACATATAAAGATCCGTCAGTATTCTACGACTATGACGATATATGTGTACGAGTGTTCTGAACCTGTAATAACGACGAGTGCGATCGAAAAACACTTTGTGAGTTCGTTGCCTTATTTTTTATATATACACTGTTTGTTTTGTTTACGACATACTACTTTTTATAACCAGCACGATTATTTTCATAAATTTAACCTCAAAATATGTTTTTAAAAATATTGTGCGAGAAAAATTAACATAATAATTATAATGTTTGTTAATAAGAATTTTATGCAAGATAACTGATACAAATTTAACTAGTCAATTTAAATTTACACTTTAACTGTACTCATATTAAGAAATATTATTAAGTATTTATTAATTTATTGATATAATAGTGACATTTTTATAGGAATGGACATTTTATTATAATATATGAGAAAAATTATACAATTTATTAAGTTACCAATGATCATGTTTATAGGTCATTTTGGCAATTATTTCTTGAAAACTATGTACTATATATATTTCTAAAGAGTGTTATTATAATGAAGTTTTAATATAATAAGTTTTCAATATTTAGGTAAAATTAATTAACAATTAAATTATATTGTGAGTAGAAAAAAGAAAAAAAAAAAAAGAAATGACTAGAAATGTGGACTTTATTTGAAAATTGTCTTTGACTTTTTATTAAAATTTATTTTTTATTATTTAAAACTTACCTGATTAAATAACTGACAACAAATAAGCACTATGTAAAAACCTATTATAACTAGATCAATCTTAAATGTAAACATAACACCAATAAAATTTCCTTTTTAAATAATTTATTTTTAATTTATTTATCTAATACTTACCAGAGGGAGACTTTGTACAAAAGTCGATTGCTTGTGTACCTCTGTCCCATTCGTGTTTCAACAGTGAAGCAGTTGTGTTTGCATGGCTGTATTTCGGTTTGGAGGGTGGGATATGGCGTGAATTTACAGAGTACACTTGAGTCCTCAGAAATAGCAACGCATGGGGGGTATCATGGGTGAAACAGTATACTCTGTTATGTCCATGGTACTGCTCATGTCTATAGGCGACCGTTACCACTTTCCATCAGGTGGGCCGTCAGCTTGTTTGCCATTCTAAGTTGTATAAAAAAACTATATTTTTTAATAGATGATAGTGGAATGGTAACACATGCCTGCGCTATCGGTGTACACTAGTGGGGCACCAGTAGGTGGTGAAGATGAAAAGGTAGGTCAGTTAGCCCGTCGTGACGAATTCAACTATAAATTAGTGACGACGGTTTCCAGGGGGAACCGCGTGGAGATCGACCTGATAGGATGTATTGCTAGCAATGGGTCAGTTAGACCCCATTACTAACAATCCCTTCCCCCCTCATATAGATATTGACATGTATTATTATTTACACAAGTTATATTTAGCCACTTAGTGAGGATAAAAAAAAAAATAAACACAAGGAAACGAACCGGCTCAAATGGGAAAACCAAATTATAAAACCAGATTGTACATCGTACATTCCCGTGTTAATTGACATATCACTTTGTGCGTACGTGTCAGGGTTTAAAATAGAACGTGCGGTGTGCTAGAACAAGTTGCAGTATAAAATTATTGTGTGTTTACGGCCATTCGTGTGGAATAAGTCGCCGACGTTGTGTGCTTGTCGTTTCTTTAGTTTGTAATGAATTCTCTATGGTTAAGAGATTATTAATATATGTGATTTTGTGCTGGAATTGCTAGTGTTCTAAATAAGAATGTTCTCTAAATGTGAGTATAATGTGTAGGTACATTAATATTATTTATGTTTTTGACTGAGAGACATTTCGATGAACTATGATACTTATAGATAGTAACTAAATATCTATATCTATATATATATATATATATATATATATATATATATATATATATATATATATATATATATATATTTGTGTAGGTAGGTATATGTTGATAATTATAAATATAGTAAGATAATACTCACAGTACTTCCATACCTACATCTAATTAATTGTGGCTTCTTATACAGGAAACCAACAATTTTATCATTGTTATTAGTGATAATGACTATTTTAATTTTATGACAAAGAGAAGCGAATTGAATGATTGATCAAATTCAAAATTCAAAATTCAAAATTCAAAATTCAAAAATCATTTATTCATGTAGGACATTTTAGCCGCTTATGAACGTCAAATTTTTACATTATAATTTTATATTTACCCTACCGTCCAGTTCGGTATATAGATCCAATTGAGAAGAACTGGCAAGAAACTCAATTGAATTACTTTTTTTTTTAAAGCCAGTTTATTTACAATGTATATTTATATAGGTGTCTATGTCTAACATTAAATGAAAATTCAGTGCATGAACAACTATTGCCATGCACACTCGTCATTCAAGTAATCGTTTAGTGAGTAATAGGCTTTGCTCAGTAAATATGATTTAACAGATGTTTTGAATTTATTTAAGGGTAATTCCAACATATCCTTTGGTATCTTATTGTAAATTTTTATACCTATTCCCATAAAAGACCTATTAACTTTTTCTAAACGATACTTGGGGACAGCAAGTTTGTCTTTAAATCTAGTATTAATATTATGAATATTGCTGTTTTTTGGAAATAAGTCAAGATTTTTATGAACATATAGGATATTTGAATATATAAATTGAGAAGCAACGGTGAGAATATTTGCCTCTTTGAATTTCTCTCTTAATGAGTCACGACTCTTCATACAGTAGATCGCTCGAACGGCACGTTTTTGTAATATGAATATATTTTTAATATCTGCCGCTTTTCCCCATAGTAATATTCCATAAGAGAGTAAACTATGAAAATAACTAAAATAGACTAATCTAGCAGTATCAGTATCAGTGTACTGTCTAACTTTACGCACGGCAAAAGCTGCTGAACTTAGTTTCGCTGCAAGGCTTTGAATTTGTGCACCCCATTGTGTTTTATTATCTAGTGTGATTCCTAGAAAGACAGTAGATTCTATAAATTCGAGAGATTCGTCATTTAATTTAATATTGCAATTAGTATTAAAACTTTTAGACAGAGAGAAATTAACACATTTTGTTTTTTTAGCGTTTAACATAAGATTGTTAGTTGTAAACCAGTGCAGGAGACGCCGCAAAGCACTATTTACATCGTCATAATTATTAGTCATTCTATTAACTTTAAAAATTAATGAAGTATCGTCTGCAAACAATACTATGCCGCATCTATCCTGCATGGCATATGGGAGATCATTAATGTAAACTAGGAATAAAAATGGACCGAGAATAGATCCTTGAGGTACACCCATTTGCACAAGTGATCCGTCAGACGTAGCGTTGCTAATCTTCACTTTCTGTATTCTATCAGATAGATAAGATTTTATTAAATTTAAAGCATTGTCTTTGACGCCATAAAAAGCAAGTTTTTTTAGCAATGTATTATGATCAACGCAATCAAAAGCCTTAGAAAGGTCACAAAAAACACCTATCACATCCATTTTAGTTTCCCATGCAGCAAATACGTGTCTAAGCAACTCTTCAATCAACATTAGTTTCGTCATGTAATTTATTATTGAAACTATGCCTTCTCCATTGATACAAAACAGTTTAAACTATTTGCATTCAATAACTTCCTTTATATTATACAACTTAGAATGGCAAACAAGCTGACGGTCCACCTGATGGAAAGTGGTAACCGTCGCCTATAGACATGAGCAGTACCATGGACATAACAGAGTATACTGTTTCGCCCATGATACCCCCCATGCGTTGCCATTCCTGAGAACTCAGGTGTTATTCCTCTGTACCCTGTAAATTCACGCCATATCCCACCCTTCAAACCGAAACACAGCCATGCAAACACAGCTGCTTCACGGTTGAAACATGAATAGGACAGAGGTACCCAAGCAATCGACTTTTGTATAAAGTCTCCCTCTGGTCTCTCAGGTCTCTCCCAAGTCTCTCTTACGACATGTTTGAGTTCATTGCTCTATCTAGAAGTAATTCGCTCAATATGTTTGTCTGTACAAGATGATCATACAAAACAATATTAGGTAGTGCTAAATGGTTGAATAAAATTGTTGATTTCAATGCGTAATCGATATTGGCAGTTCAATTCCCGCGCAATACAAATTTGTATTCATGCATATGACTGTTTGCATCGGTCTGGGCATTCATATATTAATTCTATATCATTGATAAACGACACGTCTTTTTCGCAAGGCTTCTGAATATAAAATACAGTGCATCTCATTACTCACTGATTATGTAGCTTTCTATAGGTGAAATAATATTTAAAATCGTCTATTTTTTCTAACTATCTTCATGGGGGACGAACGTGACAAATATGTATGTATGTACAAACAAAAAATCAAAGTTTTCCTGTTTATTATTATAGATGAATTGTCTAGTACCTAGAATATAAGATCTGCTCAGGTTGAAACTAGATGACGTTATCAAGAATTCCTGGTGCTGTTTATGTACTAATTAAATATTAATATTATGTTTCAGTTATTCTTGCAGTATGTGGTCTAATGTTGACGGTGAAATCTCAGAACATATTATATACAACTCCACAAGAATATGGGAAAGTTCACTTAACAGACCAAGATAAAATATATTTCCTAGAAGATCCATTGAGTGTTCAACCTGCAGCGGATAATCGTAATGTTAATCAAGGAAACGGAGATAGTTATTACACAAATACTGGCTCAGTGCAGTCAGGGTTCGTTCAAAATGCGAATACTTCACCACTTCAAGAATACTCCCCAAATATAAACGGTGGACAAGCATTACCTATTTCGAATAGGGTTCCCGAAGAAGCAAATAGAGGACAACTTAATCAGAATACTTATTATCCCGGTGATAGAAATGGTGATGGTAATTTTGGAAATCAACATAACGTACCGTCATATGTCAATCTACCAAAACCGGTACTGCCTGGACCCATTTCACATTCAGTGACAAACTTTGGCTTGAATCTATTGAAGGTGATACATATTTTAATTTTACTATATAGGTACGCATATTTGGTACATATATATTTTTTTATTCATTTGTCAATTTCAAAAAACTTACTATCAACCCTAGTCTTAGAATTATATAGATTTTAGTCTTCTCAAACTGTTTGTTTAGCGTAGGAAGCTGACTAATACGGGAGTAAATCTTATTCATTGCAAACAAGAAAGATATTTCCATTAGAGCAGACAATATAAAAAGAATATATATACGCAAAATTTCAAATTAATTAAATTTACTGAGCATCAATACCGGAAAGGTAATTACCCAACCTTAAAATTGTACATAGATGTTCCTTATATGGTGTAGGCAATAAGTGAGTTGTTTGAGAATTCCTACATTAACAGAAATCAGTAAATTCGTCGCAGGGGAAGTCCGTTATTTTGTTCTAGTTCTGTGTATGTGAAATATACATAATTATAGTTTTATCTGTATTTGTTTACGGTTATTATAAATTTATTGATGTAAAATATATAATGATTTCGCTTGACCTTGCACTTGTGTGTCATATTTACTGTTATTTCTAGTATTAATTGTGTTTAATTGGCACACTTTGTTTAATAGGTAAATACCTCTTTTAATACTGTATACTATATGGTATTAAATAGAATTTCTAGATGTACAAGTAGGAGGCTGAACTTATAGATACAAATAATGTAATATTTGTTACTAATGAGTTCAAAGAACTTTATGCACAATAAAGAATAAAGAAAGAAAGAATAATATTAATATAAAATGTAAGATTTATAAAATAAATATAAAAAATAATAAAACAGTAGTCAATAAATGTTTCTATTTTATATTTTCAGAACATTCAACAAAATGGAAAAAACCTGGTAATGTCACCGTTTTCTATCACCACACTGCTGGCTCTGTTACAACAGGGGGCGACTGGGGTTACGGGAATACAGATCATGTCAGCATTACAGATGACGTCAGTCGCTTCTGCGGCTGCATACAAGAATATTACTGAAGATATACAGGTTTGTTGTGTTCATATATATATTTTTTCTTACAAAGTAATCTTTCTGTTATTTCGCTAACCATAAATCGGTTTATTTATTATATTTTTATATTATCTATACTATATGACTTTGCTTTACTATAAATATTGAAAATAAAGAATTTTGCATGAAAATAGACAAACAATTATTATAGGTACATAGTTAATTTCGAGTTCGCAAATTGTTGCATGAATTAGGTCAAATTATATCAAATTAATTTGGTCGTTTATAGAAATGACATTAATTTGTAGTTAGTAGGTACAAATGACTGTTGACTTTTATTCTTTATCTATTTATTTATAGTAACTAAGTAGGCCAGTTTATTTGCTATTCTTATTTCCATAAAAAATATGGTTTCAAAGGCGTGCTGAATTGATACTATGAATAAATAAATATTTTATTTATTCATTATTAACTATTACTGATCAGGATAAAAAAGTATATCTCCTTTTCTATCTCATACGGTATCTGTATACCAAATTTCATAATGACTGGTCTATTAAAACGTTACCAACTAAACAAACAAATAAATTGAGAAACGAAAAACAAACGCACTTTCATATTTATGACATTAGTAAGGTTTTTACTGATGAATTTAGTAATTTGCAAAAATATTACAAGGAATCCTCATACGTCATTTCTTCTGAGAATAAAAAATATTATGCTTTTATGTGTTTAAGATTGCATTGAGAATTTCAGATTTGGAACTCGTATTATTGTTTCACTGCTATAATAAAATACAAAAATATGTACATTGAAAATGTGTTGAAATTTTTCAGAAACGCAACTCGAATAATGTTCTCAACGTAGCAAACAATATATATGTAGCCGACGACTTCATTATCAATCCTGAATTCAAAAAGATGGCTGTTAAAAACTTCGCCAGTGAAGTCACGCCAATTAAGTTCAACAATCCTGGTAGAGCAGCGCAGATTATTAACAATTGGGTAGCGTCTAAAACACACAACAAGATCACAAATTTGGTTCCTCCTGGTAAGTAGAAATATTATAAATATTATACGAAAATATTAAATTAACTAACTCTTACGCTGAAATTCGTCTACGTTACCAGAATGTTCATTGATCGGGAACAAATGTAGCCTATGGTATGTCTATCTCATATAGTAAGTGAATACCATATAGTAAGTGAATTTTATGACGATTGTATAAGTCGGTCTTTTGATTGTTTATCAAAAAGTAACAAACAAATTCACTTTCACACCTATAATATTACTTTTTTTTTCTTTTTTTTTTTATATAACTTAGAATGGCAAACAAGCTGACGGCCCACCTGATGAAAATTTAGGATAAAATAAAATGGTGGTGATAAAATAAATGAGCTGGTGTCTGTAATAGGTTAAGACCTGTAGTACAGATCACCAGGCCCCCAACCGGTTTAAATAATAATTAAACAAAATGCATTCCACTGAAATTACACAATCCAAAAATAAAAATAAAAAACAATAATTAATAGTAGGAGATAAAAAAAGAACAATAAAGTTAATATTGGAAAAAAAAAGTGTTTGTGTGTGTGTGTTTGTGTGTATGTGAGCGCGCGTGTGTGTGCGTGTGCTTGTGCATGTGTGTGTATGTAATGTATTATTTATTTTCAGACGCTATAGATGAAAATGCTCAACTTATATTGGTGAATGCGGTGTATTTTAAGGGGGTATGGCAAATCAGATTCAACCCAGATTCCACGCATCAGAATGTCTTTAATCTCAGCAATGGTAGCAGCAAAACGACATCATTTATGCGCATGCGCCGATATTTTAGGAGCGGCATCGACAAAACCAATGATGCAATGGTACTCATACTGCCATTTGAGGTTAGTAACAAGAATTGCCGTGTGTACTCGGTGTAGAACAAATCATCTTTTAACTAAGAACTAAGAGAACTTAATGATCGAGGGATGAGCAGCAGGGATCGAGATTTTTCCAAGAGACTACAGTACGGGGTTCTTCAAAAAAGAACCCCGTGCTCTAAAAATCTAACTGCAGTTGCCAACCCGCCTGCCAAGCGTGGCAACTACTGGCAAAACTCCCCTTTTGTTCAGCAGTGGATAGTTAACGGCTGATATAATAAAAATCCCTTGGTATTGTAGGTGTTCATAGGCTACAGTGATCGCTTACCATCAGGTGGGGCGTATGTCACCTCAGTGGTATAAAAAAAATTCGTTTACTTTTTTTTAACAATCATATATTTGATATTGAAAAACTTAGGACTTATTATGGATAGTACATTGTCGTAGACCTCTCATATTAATGACATTAGTAGACGGATGTACTTTTCATATCACTCTCTCAAACGTCTCCAATACTTTCTCCCTTTCAATACCAAAATTATGCTTGCACAATCTATTCTTCTTCCCATTCTAGATTATGCTGATGTCTGTTTCTTAGATGTGACCGAGGAGCTGCTAAATAAGCTTGAGCGGTTGCAAAATTTAGCGATAAGGTTTATTTTCAGCTTACGAAAATATGATCATGTCTCGGAATACCGCACTCGTTTAAAGTGGCTCCCAATTAGACATCTGCATGAGACACATGTCCTAGCGGTCCTATATAATATCCTTAATGATCCCAATTCTCCTTCCTACCTTCGTTCCCGGTTCCAATTGTTACCTCCTCCTTCCAGACCTAGACGTCTTTGTCTGAACCAGTCCAGGGTACTGAAGCTTCCCAGCTGTAAAACCCATTTTATGGGTAACTCATTTGCTTATCGTGCTGTACAGCTGTGGAATAAACTTCCCGTGAATATTCAGAATAGCCCGTCTAGCAGTTCCTTCAAAAAAAGATTAAAACCATTCTATCTTTCCAACTTAATTTAAATATAAAAATGATTAGAAGACTGTCATCATTGTGTTCTCTTGTATCTGATATTTATATGTTGTATTTAACGTGTGTATGTATGTGTGTATATGAATGTGTGTATATATATATATATATATATATATATGTATGTATGTATGTATATATATGTATGTATGTGTGTATATATAATAATTATTTATAATTTATGTAATTAGTTATTTAAATTTCTGTCTTGCACTACTACTGCCCACTCACTACTTCCTATGCCACTGCGTTAGGTTGACTGGAAGAAATCTCTTTTAGAGATAAGTTCGCCTTTGCTAACATTGTTATTAACTTATTGTTGTTACTGTATGTTTTAGTGCAATAAAGAATATATATATATATATATTTTAATTTATTTAGGTTAACGTTAATGTAACATTATTGTATATTTTGTTTCAGCAAGAACAATACTCTTTGATGCTAATATTGCCATCGTTAAAATCAAATGTCCCTGAAGTGCTGGCCACATTGACTGACTCCAAGTTACTGGACTACCATCAATTTACGCACAAAGAAATAGAAGTTCAACTGCCCAAATTTACAATTAGGGCTGACACTGATCTAAATTTGGCATTGAGAAAGGTAAGCGATTAATGATTTGAGAAATTATTTTTCTTTTGAAAAGATATACTTTAAGATTAGTCTCTAGTAATATTATTAAAATAGATTCAATACTTTTGAAATCAAAAAAAATGTTTTTGCCGAGGTCGATGTGAACATTTTTTTTGTGTTTTTTTTTTTTTATACAACTTAGAATGGCAAACAAGCTGACGGTCCACCTGATGAAAAGTGATAACCGTCGCCTATAGACATGAGCAGTACCATGGACATAACAGAGTATACTGTTTCGCCCATGATACCGCCCATGCGTTGCCATTCCTGAGGACTCAGATGTTATTCCTCTGTACCCAGTAAATTCACGCCATATCCCAACCTTCAAACCGAAACACAGTCATGCAAACACAACTGCTTCACGGTTGAAACACGAATGGGACAGAGGTACCCAAGCAATCGACTTTTGTACAAAGTTTCCCTTTGGTAAACTTCTGTAACTTTTATAAGATGAATGTTTGAAAAATGCCTACATATGAATACTTAAACGCTATTACTTTATTTTCAGATGGGCGTAGTAGATGTGTTTGGAGCGCAGTCGGAGCTTTCTGGCTTGGGGAAGTATGGGACACAATCACCTCACATATCGTCTGCGATACATTCCGCCATGCTCTCTATAGATGAAAAGGGGGGTTCCGCGGCTGCTGCAACAGCGTTTGCTGTTGTCGCGTTATCTTATGATGATCCTTCATTAACCTTTGTATTCAATCGACCATTTTTAGCTGTACTGTGGGACAACAAAGCAGCTGTACCATTATTTATGGCGGATATCGAAAACCCAGTGTTATAGTTTAATTCTGCCATTTGTAATACACTGTACAATAAAGACTTATACTTTAATAATTTAACTCTAAGATGTGTATTTGAGTTGCTCAAATTCAATTAATTAATACAATATAATAAATATTTAATTTTTTTTGTTATTAAAATATTTTTTTATTTGTTCAATAATTTATAAAAAATTAATGATAGGCAATTAATAATGGAAATATGTATAAAATACTACATTAGATATTTAAATTGTATAAATGAATTTTGAAGCACCGAATACAAAGGGACTTTAAATCAAATATTTCTAAAAAAAAGATCATTTTAGATATCTATATTATACTAGCTGACCCCGTAAACGTTATTTTACCACTTATTGCGAAATATAAAAATCGCGATTAAAATACATGGGTTGATCGTAAAACGGTGAAAATTTAAGGTTGTATGTATTTTTCAATGCTAAATCATAATAAAATAAATTAAAAAAAATAATGTCAAAAAAATAAAAAAAAATATTTTGGGGTGGGTCACCCTTATCATTGACGGGTATGAAAAATAGATGTTGGCCGATTCTCAGACCTACCCAATATGCACACAAAATTTCATAAAAATCGGTAAAATAGTTTCGGAGGAGTTTGCTAACAAACACCGTGACACGAGAATTTTATATATAAGATATAAGATATAACTTAATTTCTATGACTGTATCAGTACACTACAATTCTAATATTATTATAAATTATACTGATAGTTATTAGAATAAGTACTTCTTACTTTTAGATTATATTATATAGGGCATTGAGTCTCAAAAACGTGTCAACTTTATATTAGCTAATTCTCAAATTACCTGACTCGTTTTTTTTTTTTATTAATGTTTTATATTATAAACTTACGCATACAATGTATGTTGACATATTATTTAATAAATAAAATGAGTATTTACGCATTAAAAAGATGCAGAATTTATATGACAATATAAATATAGAAGTTATAAAGGAATTACTCATAACTATTTATCACGCAAAATTGTATAAATACATGCTTCTCATGAAACATTTGTATGGAGACACTTTAACTATATGATCTAAGTTCTTATTATTATAAAATTTATAATTTAATATAAACAAAAGTTACATTGTCAGAGAAGTTGGTAGGTAAATAAGATCATATTTTGTACTATAAATATAATATTTAATGGATAAATACTTATCTCAATAGTAACATAGAAACAAATATTACTTAACTACTTAAGTCTTGTACGAATAAAATTAACTAATAAATAATACCGATTTATAAAACACAAATAAAACTGATCTATCTTTTTAACTTTTTAAAAATATTTATAAATGGATCGTCGGCGAAGATTCTCAATTTTCCGCTATAGTAAGATTCAATTTCTTGTAAACTTTTTCCTTCTGTTTCTGGTAGAAAGAAATATAAATATATGACTCCAAGGTAAGCTATACCGGCATATACTGCAAACGCTCCCCATAAGTGTACACTGGTCTCCAGATTAATGAAAGTCTTGGCTCCTATGAAGTTGATGATGTAATTCGCAGCAGCAGCTAAGCCTTGCGCAGACGCACGACTTCTGTTGATGACAATATTATGACGGTTATATTTAGAATGACTTTTAATTGCTATTTAATATTCATCATCATCATTATCATATTAGTTATTAATGATACATTGTTGAAAATAGACCTTCCCCTTGGGGAGCCAGTAGTTGCTGCGCTTGACAGACGGGTTGGCAAACGCAGTTAGGCTTTGATAATATATTAAGAAGGATGGGGCTGCCCGTTTGTTGACCTTATTTGCTTCTTACGATATCCACGGGAAAGGAAAGGGTCGAAGAGGCGAAGACGGCAAAGAAATTACAGGGTTTGGAGACATAACACCTTAGTTCTAGGGGGAGAGAATGAATTGTTAGTAATGGAGATTAGCAACCTCATTGCTAGCAAAATACTCTACCAGGTCGGCCCCATGCCATGAATTCGCTACAATAGATCAAATGACTTGCTTCACATCCTCACCTATCATCTATCACTGGTGCCCTGCCAGTGTATACCGATAGCGCAGTTGGGTTAATTATGCTATTCACGGTTACCGTTAATCATTAAGTGAGTGGTAAGCTCGTTAGCTTTTTTTTTTATACCACTGAGGTGGCAAACAAGCATACGGCCCACCTGATGGTAAGCGGTTACCGTAGCCTATGAACGCCTGCAATACCAGAGGTATTAGCTTTCGAATAGCTATTCGAAGTTTCAAAAAGAATTAATTACCTGAAGGGAAAGACTTCACCAAGCAACACCCACGGAATAGCAAATCCAGTAAACGTAGTTAATGAGTAAAATAACATCTGTGGTACATAATTCTTCTCTGTAGGAAATGTATTTGTGTCGTAAGAGAATACAGATTTATCCAGATTGTTCTTGGCATAGACACTGAGAGCTGTACTAGATATTGCAATACCCAGCATAGCCGTCACAGCGAGCTTGCGTTTCCCAAACATTTTGATAATGCCAATAACAAGAACGCCTGTGACGAATGTGATTATTCCAACCATTAACTGAAAATGAAGGATTTGTAAAAAAAAAATATAAAGATATTATTAAAAGATTTTTTTTATACCACTGAGGTGGCAAACAAGCATACGGCCCACCTGATAGTAAGTGGTTACCGTAGTCTATGAACGTCACGTGCGTTGCCGAACATGAAGTAACCTCTTTACCCCCCCCCCCCCCCCTTTTAAAGAACCCCATGCTGTAGTCTCTTGGGAAAACCTCGGCAGGGAGCTCATTCCACAACCTGAGTGGAACTACTAACATACTATATGAAGAATTAAATTGTACAACCGCATCTATATACATGATGTTGTTGATATCAGCCATTACTCTTTACTACCGAATATAGGCCTCTATTGGGAGGTTTTGCTAGTAGTTACCTGGCAGGCGGATTGGCAACTGCAGTTAGCTTTTGGTGATGTTTTAAGAGGGACGCCTCTTACGACTTCCAAGGAAAGGAAGGGGTGGTCCATTCTAAACGGGTCCACACAGTATCTAATATATCCACATACATATAATAGAATAACTAGACGATGTCTGCACGTAGGCGATATTTAAGGAAAAATTCATATGATCGGTCTTAGTAAGAACATTTTTAGTCAAAAGAATACATGTTTCAATTTTTGTTTGCCTTTGTCTGTATATTTGTACTGGCATCATAAAAAAAACTATTGCACCAAATTAGATGTAGTTTTCACAGTTGTCTTTCTGAAGCTAGAACTTGAAATCTGAATTTTAAGTGTAATCTATCTTGATACGCTATCCGGGAGTAATTTATTTCATTGCTTTTATTACCTCCAACCAAAATCCACATATGCGAAATTTCGGACTGTTATAGTATAATTCAATATGAACTACTAAATTTGAAACCTTTTGAAGACAATTGAAAATAAATAGTTGAAAGGAGAAGTTGAAATGAACTTACAGTTATGTCCTTTCCATCATCAGGCATACCGAAGGCTCCGCAAACATTTACCATGTTGGGTCGAATTGGGATGTACCCACTCATTATATGAAATGCGAAGTATAGTATGACAAGAGTCAATGGTCTAACAGTTTCCTTACTCATCATGACATATCTGAACCTGTCAATAGTCCTGAAAATAAGCAAATTCATATAAAAAATATCAATGTATACATATATATTAAAAGTAACGTTTACGTATTATACTATATGTATATTTCTTATGTGTTATATATATTTATTTCTGTATGTTACAATAATTATGTAACATATTTGGTTTGAAGGGTTAGGATATGGCAGTGAATGTATAGGGTACAGAGAAATACTACCCTGAGTTCTCAGAAATGGCAACGCATGGAGGGTATCATGGGCGAAACAATATACTCTGTTATGTCCATGGTATTGCTCATATCTATAGGCGACGGTCACCACTTTCCATTAGGTGGGCCGTCAGCTTGTTTGCCATTCTAAGTTGCATTACAAATCATCTATAAAATATATCTGACTCTATACGCGAAATGCGAAATAAAGATAAGGTACCTTCTGATCCAGTTCATCTTATGGTGATTACAGTTAACATTATTTGGGTCAACCTTGACGCATATAGCACATTTTTCTAATTCCTTTGTATAATCAACTAGTTTGTCAAATTCATCTCTCACATTCTCCGTTGTGGTCCACCCTCGTAGGTTGCACAAAGATTTGAGGGCTTGTTTCTGTCGCCCTCGGTACAGTAGCCAAGTTGGAGATTCTGGGACCTGTTAGGTAATATTTAGGAAGAATTAATACAGTTTTAACCGACTTCAAAAAAAAGGAAGTTCTCAATTCGGTTGTATTTTTTATGTTTATTACTTTATAACTTCGTTAGTTCTAAACTGATTTGGAAACTTGTTTTCTTTTTCATCTAAAAGGTCTTTTACTTACAGATTGGTCTCAAAATTTTTTGCAAAATCGGTATAATAGTTTAGTTTTTAGATCAAAATTACTGGTTTTGTCACAACTAAAGTCGGTTTTTTTGTGGCATATAATCTTTATATCGATTAGAACTCACGTAGTTATGAGGTAACAAACATAAAGGAAAAAAATTACAATCCAATAGAAATTTCTTTCTTTTTGAAAACGGTTGAAAAATAGGAAAGTGCAAAAAAATAACAAGACTAAACAAAAGGCATTTTATTATATGATACTTACTAGGAGTATAAGTAACATTGATGCTACGGGCGGAGCAATGGCAATGACAGCTGCTTGCCTCCATGTGACGACTTTACCCAAGAAATACATGCATAAAGTGCCCACCGACGTGAACATCTGAGTAAATGTGCACAGAGCGCCGCGAATTGAAGGCTCACTATAAATAAGTATGATATAAGAATTTAATGTGTCATTAATATATTTGAACTAGTATTTAAGGTTACTAATCACTAAATGTAATACTGTAAGATTATTTCTTGTCTAATTTTATTAAATGACCAACCACCTTAAATACAGGAAATACTAGATGGCGCTAGTATCGAGATTTGTGTTTGTTGTTTTTTTTTGTAATTAATAATAATTTGAAGTAAAATTTCTAAATTTGTGTGTGGTTTTTATTATTATGTATGAATGTAAAGTGTTAGATAAAACGCAATCTTATCCTGAATGAATTATAATCCACTCACAATAAAACTAGTATTTGCCATCTGTATATAAATATTAATATGTTTTAGTGATGCATGTAAATATTATTATATTTAAGTAGTGATAGTTAGGATTATTTCTAGATTTCATTTTCGGCACACTTTTATCTCTATATCTATATTTTTTCTCTTATTTACAATATAACTGTTTTGTAAAGTTTCAATCAATAAAAAGACGTTGCGTTGGATTACTAATTTAAGTATTATCTTTGTTATTGGAAGTAAGTTGTAATTTACTAGCTTTTATCCGCGATTTTGTCCCCGTGACTGAATAATCTTTGCCGACAGAGATAACAAGTAATCTAGGTCTTACTCTATCCCATATAGTACGTATATTATTAAATTTTATAATAATTCGTTAAGCCATTAACAAAGGTAACGCCATAAGGTAACAAATAAACGAGTAAAATCATTTTCATTGTTATAATATTAGAAAAGACAACTGGAGCTTAATTATACAAAGGGATTATATTCCATAGCTATTCAGTGTGGAAATGTAGCAAGTCTCCTAGGTACCCTACCAGCTGGCAGTGATCTTAAGGAAATTTTTTATCTTTAACTATTTAAATTTATTCCATTAGAAACATTTATCTCATATTAACTACTATATCTATAAGGGATTATTAAGAACAAATTGAAACAATATTTTGTAGTATTTTTTTGATTGTCTGCATTTTTATTAAAAACTACTACACCAAAATGAATAGGGTTTTCCTGAACATAAAATTTTATATCATGCATGTTTTGTCTTGAAACGTCATCTAGAAGTAGTCATATAGTCTTAAAATCATGTGCATGAAGTTGCCAGCAACAGTTGGTAAATAATATTAATGGCTACTTACGTCACTTCTCCCACATAAGAATTTATAGGCGCTTCCATAACTCCACTGCCGACTCCTAATAGTGCATTTGCTATGAATAACGAGGGTAAATTCCATGAGTAGTACATGAGAATCCAGGCAATCAAATGTGGGAAATTTGCTAGAAAGTTGGCTTTTTTCCTTCCAAAGTAATCGACTAGTGGACCTGATATTAGAGCTCCGAGCGGTTGTGTCAAATATGGTATACCACCTGTAAAAATATGGTATTAATTAGTATGGTACTATTTATAATATGTATACCTGATTGCCATGTGGTTCCGGCATAGAATAGGGTACCCTTTCCGTTGCCATGTGTGTCGTAAGAGGCAACTAAGAGAGGGTGAAGGATGGGCAGCTACGTTCCTTTTAAAACATCTCTAAAGTCTAACTGCGGTTTTTTTAATGGATGACCTTTCCATGGTAACCTCGCCTGCGTTAATGGTATAAGCTGACGGGCTACCAGTGAGGGATGACAGGTGAGATGAAAGGGCAGGTCAGTTAGTCCACCGTGATGAATACACCTGGAACTCAGCACGATGGTTGCCAGGGGAGACAACGTGGAGGTCGACCTGATAGGATATATTGCACGCAATTGGACTGGTAGTCCGCATTACTAATAATTCCTTTCTCACTGCTTAACTGCGGTTGCTAATCCGCCTGCCAGGCGTGGCAGCTACTAGCAAAACTCTCCAAGGGGCAGGCTTATGTTTAGCAGTGGACAGTTTATATATCAGCCGTTGATTGTCCTTTGCTGAACCAAGGTCTCTCCCACGGGGGAGTTTTGCTAGTAGTTGCCATGCTTAGCAGACGGGTTGGCAATCACAATTAGACTATGATAATGTTTTAAGAGGGACACTGCTGCCCGTTCATTGACCACTGAATTCCCTTATTCGCCTCTTACGTTACCCACGAGAAGGAAAAGGGTGTCTACACACGTTATAGAATATATTAATTTAATAATTTCATGAATAAGAAAATTTGAAAATAACAAAACAAAATGGAAGGTTAAAAATTTTCTGTCGTTTCTCCACCTAATAATTAAGTTTATTAAAAAAAAATTAAATATAAATAATTTCTTCAAATGTTATCATATTTGCGTCTAAATCGGATGCCTGTATCACATTTCAACTTTTTTATATCCTCATTACTTCACCTACGATGTGACAGACTTCATAACATAACTAACAAAACATTACCGCTGTTATAAAACCCTAAATAATATTTGAAAAAGACAAAGAGAAAGGGTATAAAGAAAATCCTTATGAAATAATCTATTTATCTTTATATCTTTTATAAATTTACCAAGTGTCAATTATCTCTAACATCAACAGCACAAGAAGAAAAATTAATGATAAAAAGATGAAAGAGATAGGGGAATATACCAGAGGGAGACTTTGTACAAAAGTCGAATGCTTGGGTACCTCTGTCTAATTCGTGTTTCTACCGCGAAGCAATTGTGTTTGTATGGCTGTGTTTCGGTTTAAATAGTGGGATATGGTGTGAATTTACAGGGTACAGAGGAATAACATCTAAGTCCTCAGGAATGGCATAGCATGGTGGGTATCATGGGAGAAACAGTATGCTCTGTTATGTCCATGGTACTGCTTATGTCTATAGGCGACGGTTACCACTTTCCATCAGGTGGGTCGTCAGCTTGTTTGCCATTCTAAATTGCATAAAAAAAATATTCACTCACCAAACCAGGATGCCTGCTCATCATTTAGTGATAGTCCATCTTTCGCGTTGAGCAAGTTGGGTAATGCTATCGTAGTGAAACTAATAGCCATACCCAAATCGAGTAGTAATAGGTTCGGTGACATACATGCTATCACCTGGAAAAATATAATATTCCTGAATATAATAGCTTGAATCATCATCATCATCTTCACTATATATTATCACGTTCACGAGACACGTTATATATTAGTTTTGATCCAGTATTCCCAGACAGTACACTACAATAAGGAGGTAAAAAATGTTTTTGATGAATTGAACGGATTTTGAAAAGTTTTTGTGGGATCATTTTGATAAAAAAGAATTTACTAAGTCGGTTTATAACTGACGGAGATGAAGGTAACAAACGTATAAAAAATACAACCGAATTAAGAGCCTCTTTCTTTTTGAAGTCGGTTGAAAATAACAATGCAATGTTGCAGTTGTCGAAATTCGCTGACTCTTGGTCTTCATGGGAATTATTCACGTGATGCTATTTCACGTGAATAGTTGTCACAAAGATCTGTCTATCTAGCACAAATATTTGCCTGTGCCACAAACTTGACCTACAGCAGCTGTGACGAGGTAAATCACAAGTATTGCGATTATTGTATAATACAGCCATTTTAATTTATCGTATTGTCAGATATATTAACCTAAGGTGTCGCCTTTAAATTTTGCTAGTATAAAATTTTTTAATTAAACTTTGTTTAAATGAAAGATATAATGCAATGCAGTTAACTAAGACAGATAACCTTACGTTGTCATACATAAAAAGAAACAAACTTCGTTTAATATAGGTAGAAAGAAATCAATTTCTTATAACTACATCACTATAATTTGAAACTAGATGTTGGCAACTTCTAGTTCTTCTTTGGGTTACTTGCAGCCATTTAACATAGACAAGCAATATATAAAAAAGAATAAACTTTCGTTTAGCGTCTTATACAAAAGCATAATGAGTTTACTACATGGCCGTAGCTAGGGAGGGAGGGGCATTGGAGGGCAATGCCCTACCTTAAAAAGCCTAAAGCCCTACCTTAAAATGAAAGGCCCCAGGAAAATTAAACAGATTCGCTTTGTCAAAGTCACTTAATTATGGTTTCTGCTCTAATTTAAACTTAGGTCTAGCTACGGCCTAGTCTATGTTAACCATAACTAGCAAAATTTTTACCTATTTTTACTCGACAATTCTCCGTTGCGGCTAACTGAAAGTAGGCAGAGGGAGACTTTGTACAAATGTCGATTGCTTGGGTACCTTTGTCCCATTCGTGTTTCAACCGTGAAGCAGTTGTGTTTGCATGGCTGTGTTTCGGTTTCAAGTGTGGGATATGGCGTGAATTTACTGGGTACAGAGGAATAACACCTGAGTTCTCAGGAATGGTAACGCATGGGGGGTATCATGGGCGAAACAGTATACTCTGTCTGTCCATGGTACTGCTCATGTCTATAGGCGACGGTCACCACTTTAAATCAGGTGGCCCGTTAGCTTGTTTGCCATTCTAAGTTGTATAAAAAAAAAGGCAACCAGGATGTGTTGTGTTATATTTTCGCTCATGTTTCATTTAAACCAAGTTTTATTAAACTGTTTTGTACATGTAGAATTTAGTGGTTAGGCTATATGATAATAATAATATCTTTATTACAGGCTATAACGGTCCAATTTGTTAGTAACATAATCTTAGCCTAATATTAGTACACCTTATAATAAAATAAATAAATAGAAAAACAATTTGACAAACTTGGTCACTGCTGAGGCATACCATTTGAGATTTCACAACAGTGACTTTATTACAGGCTATAACGGTCCAATTTGTTAGTAACATAATCTTAGCCTAATATTAGTACACCTTATAATAAAATAAATAAATAGAAAAACAATTTGACAAACTTGGTCACTGCTGAGGCATACCATTTGAGATTTCACAACAGTGACCAATATAAGGGTAATCCAACTTGCAAGCTGATGCAGACCATGTTCAGGATGCCGTTGGTGCATAATAAATACATCATTTGCCGACTGTGCATTTAATAATTATTCTGTAATTTGTCACTTTTATCTTCCAAATATGTACGAACAGCAACAATAGTTCTCGCCCTTTTGTCCGTATATTTAATATATTGCTAGCTTGGTGTCACCAAGTGTTTGTCTTATGCAAATTCATGAATATGTTCTGCGAATTATCCATGCTAATTCTTTTTCAAGGTTTAATACCAAAATAGTATAAAGAAACCCTTATTGTGCGTCTTTGTCCATCTGTCCGTCGGTCACAGTATTATATCTCAGGAACTATGTTATCGATTTTTAATTTGGTATAGTTTTTGATATCGTTGGCATTTCTTTATGAAAATAATTGTTTTAAATATATTCATATTCATATTTCTTTATTAACCAATGTAACAGTTTTCGTCACACAATGGCAAGTCAATATTTACATTATAATTTTGAAATTAATAAAATAAATAATAACAACAAGATTTACATTATAAAAAATAAAAAATAAAATTACAAATGAATTATAGTTAACATTATAAATTAGTTACTACATGTCAATATAATGGTAACTATATAACAATAATGATGATTTCAAGTTATAAAATTTTTATTGTCACACTTCTTACAGTTAAACCTAAATAAATAATAATGCTATAATTCAATATTGGCATTTAGGTATTCGGTCACGTTGTAAAAAGGATGTTCTTCAAAATATGTCTTTATTCTATTTCTAAATCCATTTCTCGGCAATTGCGTTGCTGTATTGGGTAATTTATTGTACATTTTTATTTTTAGATATATGCCTTGTTTCATAGTTTTTGTGAGTCGTGTTCTTGGCAATTCCAATTTGTCTTTGTTTCTCGTGGCGTAACTATGAATGGCTGAATTTTTACGAAGAGTGAGGTACTCTTTATCATATATTTCAAGTAAAGAATTATATATGAACAACGATGACACTGTCATTATACGTTGTTGGATAAAGTGAGGTCTAACTGAGGTGCGTTTATGAATTCCGCATAAAATCCTCATAGCTCGCTTTTGTTGCCTTAAAACTTTCAACACGAGAGCTGCATTGCCCCAAATTGTAATACCGTATGATAACAATGACTGAACATATGCAAAGTACACCATTTTCAGAGCTTTTTTGTTATTAGTTGCTTAAGTTTACTCAGGGCATAATTGGCGGAAGCTAGTTTACTACATAATTTTTCCATATGCAATTCATGACTAACTGTACTATCTATCGTATATCCTAAAAATATTGTACTCTGACTATAAGCATTGTTTGGAGGTGATTTTTTTTTCTTACGGGTACTGTAAGACATAAAAACATTTTTCGCTGCATTTAGTATAATGCCATTGGCTTGAAACCAAACATCTAATAAATTTATGATGTTATCCATCATTCTAAAAAAAAAATGTTAATCATATGGACAAAGTCACGGGTCAAAAACAAATAAATGATAAAAAACAATAAAGTATATAATAACAGTCAATAGTAACAAAAAAGTCTGAATTTTAATTGGAGTAAACATATGTATAAAATGACTAACTAATAGGGATTACTAATATCGATATCTACTGTTCCGATATCTGTAATTAGGTTCCTCTGGATATTGATTTATTTTTATGCAACTTAAAATGGCAAACAAGCTGACGGGCCACCTGCTGCAAAGTGGTAACCGTCACCTATTGACATGAGCAGTACCATGGACATAACAGAGTATACTATTTCGCCCATGATACCCCCCATGCGTTACCATTTCTGAGGACTCAGTTGTTATTCCTCTGTTCCTTATAGTACAGTACCCTATACGAGTAGACGGTCCACCTGATAAAAAGCGACTACCCTCGCCAATGGACATCTGCAACACGATAAAAGTTGTTGGTACCATGCCGACATACACACAACATTTGTGTATGTCGGCTTAAAACCCAGTGACCCGGAGGTTATAGCCTCCGGAAAAGATGCCGAGGTAATGGGGTTTGCCCCGATGCCCCTACCTCGCCCGCCCTTACCATCACGGCGCTGGTTTTAGAGACGACCTTACTGATGATGAGTTATTGATACATCGCGTTTAAAAGCATATGAATATTGTGAAAAAACAACATGGTTTCGATACGTATATTTGAAATTTTTTAACACACATTGAGTTTAACTATTTTTTTTATATTGTGTAATTAAATAGTTTTATAATTAGTTTTATTATATATTTATAATGACTGATAATGTACCCACCTGTGCCGCTGTTGATCTGAATCTGCTCACCGCAATAACCTTGGCTTCTTCTGTTTGTAACTTATGCACCATATTTAATTAAAACCTTTAAACTTTGTAAACAAAACTAACAGACACCCACAATAGTGTCTTATAATTCACGCATTTTCATATACTGATACTTATTTATTTGACAAAATTCACGCATAATTAATTATATTTTTTTAACGTAGTAATATCCATTTAAATCTAATAATTAAAGGTTATATTTCTACTTGTTTAATAATTCTTTTTTTTGCAATAAAATAGTTTAAAATTGGTAGTTGACTGTTCTGTCTTACTATATCTCGTTCAATGACTAAAACGACGCCCTTGAGCAAGTAGACCTGGCTATCGTGATATATTAACAATACTTGAGTTTTCACGGCTATTAAAGTGTTTTCGCTTATTATTATCAGTTCCGATGGCAGCGGAGGAGTGTCTGTTTATCTCCCATTTATTATCTACTCTCATAACTCAATAGGTAAATACTATTTGACGATTGTTTGTCGGTCAATTTTTTATATAGATTTTGTAATGTGGGAATTACCTACATAATATTGGTTATGTGATTTCTAAATATAAGTGGTTCAATTCGTATGTATTTTGTTGAGAATGTTGTGTTATGCGGACATTATTTCTCAACCGACTTCAAAAAAGGTGGTTCTTATTTCGTTTGTATTTTTTATGTTTGTTACCCCATAACTCCGTAAGTTCCAAACCAATTTGGAAAATTACTTTTATATCTAAAAGAGAATACTTACAGATCGGTCTCATAGAAGTTTTATTAAAATCGGTCTAGTAGTTTAATTTTTAGATCAATTCGTGACAAAAACATCAATTTGTGACAAAAACTTTTGTCACAAATTGATGTTTTTTTTTTATGGGAAAGAATAATTTTGAGGCTATAATATAGTCACCACACAGTCTGTCAAAGTTTACAGTTTAATATTTTTATACAATTTAGAATGATAAACAAACTGACAGCCAAACTGATGGAAAGCAGTAATCGCCCCCTATAGACATAAACATAACAGATTGTACTGTGTTATCCATGATACACTTCATGGGTTGGCATTCCTGAAGACTAAGGAATTATGCCTTTGTACCCTGCAATTTCATTGCTAGATCCCATTTTTCAAAATAAAATACAACCAAGCAAATACAATTGGTAGAACGGTTCCTCAAATGATCATCCATTCGGTCCAACAATTGTGGCAAGGCCAATGGTTTTGGTTTCTCTATATATTTCCGTTGGCAATAAAACAATACTAAAAGAACAATAAAACTAAATCGTTTTACACCAATAACCTTTTTTTATTGACGCTTGTAGTGTACGAAGTGTAAGCAGGTAGTTAGAGTTGCAAGTATCGAGAATGGTGATAGCGTGACATTCAAAGAAAATGTAAATAAGTGGAGGGCTTGAGAAATGCCAATGTTATTTATATTGAGTAAGAAAATATATCTTGAAATGATTTTTAATATTAGTGTAATTATCTGTTACTTATTTCTCGCTATGCCCAATGACTGGTAGAGAGACAGTTGACTGGTAGAGAACACCGTCCGGTGTTACATATAATTTTACAGTCTTTTTTTATACAACTTAGAATGGCAAACAAGCTGACGGCCCACCTGATGGAAAGTGGTAACCGTTGCCTATAGACATGAGCAGTACCATGGACATAACAGAGTATACTGTTTCGCCCATTATACCCCCCATGCGTTGCCATTCCTGAGGACTCAGGTGTTATTCTTCTGTACCCTGTAAATTCACGCCATATCCCATGCTTCAAACTGAAACACAGCCATGCAAATACAGCTGCTTTACGGTTGAAACACAAATGGAACAGAGGTACCCAAGCAAACGACTTTTGTACAAAGTCTTTCTCTAGTCTCCACAGTGCATTAAAACTTAAATAAATAAATAAAAGAAAAATAATGGGGCTAGACAGTGAAAGCGGGTATAAATGACTCATTACTGATAGTAAACTATGCCTCTTAAATGGAAACAGGGTATCATTAATAACGCAAGCAAGTGGTCTCTAGTCTATCAAACGGGGACTAAAAACCCCATTGCTAATACAAGTATACATCTAGGTCTAATTCCTCGTGGCATTTTATGGAAACCATTTTATTAAATTTGTCCCTATGAGCCATCATGTGTAACATTGCTATAAACTCTCCTAGTTTCATCTATCGTCCTTCACCGATATTCAGCATTGAGAAATCGCACTTTATCCATTAAAAATCGCTTTGGTTCGGGTTTAGATAATTAATGGCTGAAATGATACAGGTGAAATAATTTCCTAATAAGCTCGCCTTGCTATAATTCAAGGAGTACTGACACCAACACTCATGTATGGAAGCGAATCGTGGGTATGGCAGAAGAAGCATGAAAGTAAGATAAATGCTGTACAGATGAGAGCTTTGAGAAGTATGTGTGGTATTACTTTAAAATATAGAGTAAGAAACAGTGTAATTAGAGAGAAGTGTGGACTGAAAGTCGATGTAGTGACCAAAATCGAAAAAGGAATGTTGCGTTGGTTTGGTCATTTGGAGAGGATGGATGAAAGAAGAATTACGAAAGAGATTTATCGAGCAAGAATGAATGGAGATGTCGGTAGGGGCCGCCCTAGACGGACGTATGTCGACCAAATAGGCGACGTGCTGAAGAATGGCCAAATTAAAAGTACCCGTAACCGACGAGCGTGTATGACAAGATTGATGAATGTGGAAGAAGCGAAAGAGGTTTGTTTGAATCGAAGCATTTGGCGTTCCATTGTTTCTGCCTACCCTAATGGGAAACATGCGTGACAGATATGAAATATGATGAAATAATTTCCCTAATATTAAAAAAAAAATAAGAAGATCCTGCTTTGCATAATGGTGAAAGTTTCCATCATAACATTGAATGCCCAAAAATTATATAAAAGATTAATTATTATTAAGTTCACTTTAAGTTGATCGTTACTGGATACCTTTTTAATGTCTATTGCAGAAAAAAAAATATAGCTGTCAAATTTATTTTTTAACCATTCTTCCTTTAATTTTGAACATGTATTATATCGCCTTGATTTATTTCCCCAATAAAAAAAATCATGCAAATAAGGGTTAATCATTATTATCATATTAGCCATTGCTGAACACATGAGCCTCCCACTTGGGGGGTTTTGCCAGTAGTTGTCACGCTTGGCAGCCGGGTTGGCAACCGTAGTTAACCTTTGGTAATGTTTCAAGAGAGACGCTGCTATTCATCCCTCGATTACTAAGTTCTCTTAATCGCCTCTTACGACACCCCCGAGAAAGGAAGGTATGGCCCATTCTATGCGGGGACCACACAGCGGAAATATAAATTTATGTAACCTTGAGATTTCTTTTTATGCAACTTAAAAATGCAAACAAGCTGACGGTTTACTTAATGGAACGTGGTAACCCTCACCTATAGACACGAACAGTACCATTGACATAGCAGAGTACATTGTGTCACTCATGATATCCCACATGCATTGCCATTGCTGAAGATGAAGGTGTTTTTTTTTAATGGGTGATAATGGTTTGGTAACCCCGTCTGCGCTATTGTTATACACTGGCGGGCCACCAATGAGGGATGACAGATGAAGATGAAAGTAGGTCAGTTAGCCCATCCTGATGAATTAAACTAGAATTAGTCACGATGGTTTCCAGGGTGAACCACGTGGAGGTCGACCTGATAGGGTATATTGTTAGTAATAGGGCTATTTGACCCCATTACTAACAATCCCTTTCCCCCCAAAGATGAAGGTGTTATACCTGTGTACCATGTAATTTCCTGCCATATACCTTCAAACCGAAACACAGCCATGCAAATACCTGTATATATGTGCATATTTAAAAAAAATTGAATAAACATTAATCATCAACTATACATTCGTAATTGTTGACTAAATTAATAAGTATTTATGTCACTGACATTACTAAAGATAGTAATCATCAAGTCATCTCTTTCATAGTATTTACCATTGACTCAATTTAAACAAAGACTATTAATGATTAAGTATCTAATTAAAATACCTATGTGATTGTTAATTTTCTTACAGTAATATGCTGTATACCTATGATGCTGTCACATCTGACTTATGTATGTACTTATCTACTTACTTACATCTTTCAGATTATATCTCTTCAGGTAGAGATTTCAGATAGCTGAGTGGCTGGCTTATCGTGCTCAAAGATTAGACACGCAAATGTAGGTTCAAATATACTTAGATATTCTTTATCGTTTACAAATATGGTTATAAACATTTGCGTGTGCGTGTGCATGTGCGTGTGCGTGTGCGTGTGCGTGTGCGTGTGCGTGTGCGTGTGCGTGTGCGTGTGCGTGTGCGTGTATGATTGTAGTGGTGAGCGAAATTTTTCCTGTTACTAAGAGAATGAAAAATTATCTTCGCTCAACAATGACTAAATGACTAAGACAAAAATATAAATACAAACATTTCTATTTTAAATTTTTAAACAATTGCCATTTTATATGATTAGTATCAGTTTTTAAATAAATAATTTATAACTTCTCGCCGTGTATGTCCGAGCATAAAATAGGCCTTCTTTTCCCGTTGGTGTCGTAAGAGGCGACTAAGTGTGGGCGAAATATGGCCAGCAGCGTCCCTCTTAAAATATCTCCAAAAGCCTAACTGCGGTTCCAACGTGCCTGCCAAGCGTGACAATTACAGGCAAAACTCGTCCTTATGGGAAAGGCTTATGTTCAGCAGTGGACAGTTAACGGCTGAAATAATAATAAATAATAAAACAAATAAAAATGTTTATTTGGGATCCTTAGCTTAATTTACAGTTTTCTTTTTAGGGTCGATAATAACTGCATTAGTCATAAAGAGACTGTGTTGTAGCTATTAACGCCCGCTCCATAACATGGGGTACAAAATTTAAATAACAATAACTAAATATAAAATTACTAAAAACAAAACTAATCAAAGGATTTTGTGTGTTTGTGTGTGCGTGCTTGCGTGCGTGCTTGCGTGCGTTCGTTCGTGCGTGCGTGCGTGCGTGCGTGCGTTCGTGCGTGCGTGTTGCGTGTGTGTGTGTATGTGTTTGTATGTCTATGTGTGTGCGTGTGTGTGCGTGTGTATGCGGACTAATAATAATAATTTTACTATTAAAAAAAAATTCATAACTTTAGATATTAATGTTTACTACCACTAGTTAAAATTTATAATATAGATATATGCCTCGCTAGAGAGGTGCTTGCCTACAGCACTCTTAACATTTAATACACCTCTGTATTAACGATAATTAGTTCGTAATTAATTATTAGATAATTAGTTTTATATATATATATATATATATATATATATATATATATATATATATATATATATATATATATATATATATATATATATATATATATATATATATATATATATATATATATATATATATATTTATTATGAATCCACAGCCAATAAATTACTGCGACATGGCGAAAGTGTGCATCCACGACAGTCGGGAAGTCTGTGGGTCCGGTCCTGACGCTTGCAGCCTACGAAGGTTCAATGACCAGTGTGATATGTATGAGTACAACTGTGACTATGGGACCCGTAAGTAAGCACGAAATAGTAGAGTTTAAACAGAGTTAAAACAAATCGAATTAACAAGGTACATACGTCTCGGTCGGAGGGGTACGTTCTGCCAAAAGAATAAGATATACAAATGGTACTGATTCACTAATAATAATTACGTTGGCCCGCATCTTTTTAACCGATATTAAAAAAAGGAGGTTCTCAATTCGGTTGAATTTTGTTTTATGTTTGTTACTTCATAACACTGTTAGTTTTAAACCGACTTGGACTTGGTTATCATATATATATAAACAATGTCTTGAGTTATATTGAATGAATAGAAAAATATTCCTTGCGAACTGTAAGATGATGTTGGGTCCGGGTGGGTAATATATATTTCAGATCAACGTTCATAAAATTATAATCCGACTTCACTTAAGGTAAGTTCGTCCAATTGTTAGATTTGAAATCAACTATTTTCGTTAGAGTTCTGAATTTTAGACATATTTTCTTGGTAGGCAGGTGGATTGGATATAAATTAACTATTATTTATCTATTATTTACACGTAAGTTTGCTACATTTTTAGTTTTAATTCTCCTGTATTTATTGGTTTATCGTACTTTATTCCTTTAGCTGCCTCTCATGATGTAATTACCTTTATGTTATATTTTATTGTCAATTTTTAACTTGGAATAGCAAGTAAACTGATGGCTTGTAACGTTGAAAGTTTGTAACGACGGATGGACGTTTGTTACTCTTTAACAAAAAAACTACGGAATCGATTTGGACGAAATTTGGTATTCGAGTAGGTTCTATTCTTAGTTTTATGATATTGTTATCAGGATATACTATATTATTTATTGATTTACGTGGGCAGAGCCACGGAATACAACTATACAACTAATAATAGTATAAATATGTAATTGTTGTCTATAATTATAAACAATACTATTGATGTTAAAAATAGATTGTAACGCCTATAGAACTCGTGAAGCGTTGTCCTTCATAATAAGTGTTATGATTTAATACATACAATACATTTTATAAAGACTCATACAGGCAAAGCCATAGGGCACACCTAGTGAATAATATCATAATAGTGTAAGATTCTATTGTTACTTTTTTATCCTAATATGTACTTGCAGAATGATGATTAATTAAGATTATGAATATGTCTGAAGATAATGCATTTATTTGCGTATAGTTTAAAATACGTTATATTTTTTGTCTTTATACTTTTTACTACTACGTAATACTACGTAGGCGCTTGTAATACATGTACCAGGGATGCACTGGGGTGCACTTTGTCGTCTTTTAAGAAACTTTAATACGCCCTTTTTGAAGAACCCCATGATATAGTCTCTAGGAAAAGCTTCAATAGGAAGATCATTCCACAACCTGAATGTTCACGGCAAGAAGCTCCTCTGAAATTGTAGTGACTACGGTAGAAGATGCAAAGAAAAGCAGTCTCGTTTTAAATTAAGGGGTCCGCCTTGGATCGTCGACAATTCTTATAGCATGCCTCTCGGCCATTTAAAAGTGTCCAGGATCTCCCATCCACAAGTCAGAATAGTACTCTATATGGGGTTGGACTTATAATTTATATAATAGCAGTCTCTGTTTCGGGTTAAAGTACCGCTTCGCTTTATTTAACACTCCAAGTTTTTTGGATGTTAGCTTGGCCTTGTCTTCTACGAGTATGTCTAGACTGTAAGATATATAGATTGAAGTAAAACTAGAATTATCTGTATAGAACTTAAATTCATTATGAACAGTAATTTATATACTTCTTTCTATTATCTTTCAGAATATACCATCAAAATAACGGGTTCGTGCAAAAGGCGAGTAGATGCTATGTGTTGACAACAATTGTATTGTATTAAAGTACTTGTTTTACTCCAATCCTATAGTTTCTCTTCTTGCAATATAAAGTTTAAGTCGATACTAGTTGTAACTTATGGCTACGTCTTCGTAAATGAAATTAAAAAAAAAAGTTTTTAAATCAAACTTATACGATAATTTTAAATTAACATATTGTTTAAAAGAATTTTGACACCGAAAAATAAATATTATACCAAAATAGAAAAATGTATTGAATAATAAGTAGGTACATAATTTAAATAATACTTTTAAAAAATAAATACATTATGTTAAAAATATTGTTGCTTGGTAAGAGACTAAATGTTATTTAATTTCAGGTTATTTTGAAACGTACTTACTATTTTGTTCGGTTTTGAATTCGGTAAATCTAAGACCAAACACAAAGAGTAATAATAATTGTGATGTCAAGGTACAGTTATTATAAATCCTTAGTAATATTATATAAGTAAAAGTGTTTGCTTATTTGTTACCATTTGGCCTCTTATAACAGCTTAACCACTTATTATGAAAAATGGTATAAATGTACCATATGGGATGTAGAAGGACATAGGCAACTTTTTATTTTAATCCTTTAACATATCCCGGTTATGTGGACGAAGTTTTGGACAAAAACTTGTTATTAACGTAAAATTCAATCATACAAACAAGATGAATACTTTTATGTTAATTTTCAATTATGTTATAAAAAAATAAAATATAAATATGGCATATTCAATAGAAACAAGATCTTATAATTCCATTTAAACTACTACAATATCTACAGTTAATAATATAGTAGAAATATTAACACAAGAGACTATGGATTATGTGGAAACATCTACAATGAAACAGATAATGAAACAATTATAGATATTTATTTATACCACAATTACAGAGACTATTGAAAAAAAAACTACAAATAAAATAACTAATATAGACTTAAACATAAGAAATTCAAGTACATATTACCATATAAATTTTAGCTTTCCAAAGCCTGTGGAAGGGAGATTGGAAATGAATAAGAGAATTGTTTCAGATTTTGTTGCAAATCCTATTACAACGTCAGTTACAGCAGAAATTACTATAAATTCTCTTACTTCTCCGTATTATAGTGAAGAAGAGACTACACTTAGTATTGTAAGTACTTTTGATAAAGAATATAGTACTTTATCGTACACAACAGAAAATACTTTAACTATTAGTATTATTCCAGAAAGTACTTATCAAAAAAATCAGATAGTACAATGAGTACTAAAAAATCAAGAATGTACGTTGAGTTTACTCCAGAGTTAGTAGAAATGACAGCAGGTTTGACTGACAATTCTAAAATAGATCTACTTTCTTCTAGAGAAACAAGTGATAATTTTAAAAACAATAAATAAAGCAACTAAATGTCGTGACCGACTAAAAACATGAAAGACGACTTCCAAAAAAGAATTTCACGTAAATAAATTTCTGGAATTTGATGAAGATAATGATATAGATAAAAACGAACAGTACTAACTTTAGTCAGTAAAGATTTTAGGAAATCAAAAACAATTGAAACGACATTTGATAATTTCCCTTTAAAGCGAAGTAATAGTAAAAGAGTTGAAAATAAATTTAGTAAAGAAATTAGATCAACTAATGATGCAATAAGTAATAAAATTTGGTGGTATCCAACAACATGTATGACTAAAAATTGCTAAAAACTGGTATCATGGTTTATAACTCTATCGAAGAAAACGAAAATACATCACTGGTAATAAATTTGTTTGTATTAATTGATGAGAAAAAGAAATAAAGATACTTTAGTAAAACTATTACTTGTTTCATATCGAATAATAATAGTATCTATGACTTCTTGCCTTGTTCGAAATTATATTTCGTATTATTGTAATACAGCCGTGTGGTTCCGGCATAGAATAGGCCACCCTTACTTTCCCGTGGGTGTCGTAAGAGCCGACTAAGGGAGAGCGAGGGATGGATGACCGTGTCCATCTTAAAATATTCCTAAACGCAATCCGCCTGCTAAGCATGACAACTACTCGGAAAACCCTCCAAGGGGGAGGTTTAAGTTCAGCAGTTAAAAAATTATTGTAATATCATAGGCACAATAGGCAGAATTTTGTTTTGTAAAAAAATCTAGTTTAATACAATTTAATACGAAACCAACATTGCAATAAATCAAATATATTGCATACAATAAAAAAATAGAGAAGTCAGATAAGAGCTAATGATCTGGCAAATAATGAATTTAGAATAAACGAACGGATTTACAATAATTTTGGCCAATTTCCTTTATTTTTGCTTTGGAAATATAATATTAATATTTGTTTATACATTTCACAAGTTTCCGAGTACTAATACCATGGAAACTGCAAAATTGTGGAGAATTGGTGCCTGAACTGGGTATCCGAAGAATCCTTAGAAGTCACTATATGTTGTTTTACTTTACAGATTTCGAGCCGACACCGTGCGATGTTGTTACAGTAACCAGCAGAGATTCAGATACAGATTATCTTGAAAATGTATCAAATAAAAAATATTTAGTGAAGAATAAAAACTCTGTTGAGTACAAAAATGAATGTTGGCCACATTGTAATAGACCAAACTCTTGGATAACCACAGCTAAAGGAGAAAAGAGAGATTTCTTTAGAGTATTATTGAATAATAAATAAGATCTGAAATATTAACCTCTTCGTTTTAATACTTCAAATAAGACAATTTTAAATTTTGTTTCACAAAGAAATATCGATTTTAATAGTGGAACAACTAGATATTTTGATTTAAAAACTAAACTACTGATGGATTTTGTTAAAATGTCTAAAGGACCAATCTGAAAGTATATACTTGTTATTTGTCTTTTTATTTGAAAGGATATCATTTCACTTAAATATAATAATAATAATCTTTATTGTTTATAATTTAAATTGGACATATTAAAAGATTTAATATACAATGGTGGACTTATGCCATAAAGGGATCTCTTACAGTCAACCTTTGAGGAGCTGAAAGAAAACTATATACCGCATATAAATGGTCGTATATACTGGAAGACACCTAGATTACGCATACACCTAGGTTACATGTACGCTTGTCGGTAGAGTCGGAAGTCTCTGGAACAAGCGTACATACATGCAAAGGCGAATTATGGACAAGCATGAACTAAGAGATGTACATAGATAACTGCCTATGGCACTCGGTTTCCTCTACTTTTCTGGCAAGGGGCTTTGTTTTAAGATATTTAGATAATAAATAAATAATAACTTAGATCTATTTGCTAAGTTACACACTTTTGTAAGAGAAAAAAAAAACTAAGAATAGAGGATATATATATATATATATATATATATATATATATAGATATATATATATATATATATATATATATATATCAAGGACAATAAAAATTGCGCTGTTAAGCTTGTGCTATAAAGGTTTTATTTGCGAGTACTTACTTATGTTATAATACTTATAACTTTATTTTCTAATACTAATTATTATTATTAAATATTTGTTTTGTAGTAAGACCTTCTGTGACGCTGTTCAGATAACACTATTTTGTCTAACAGTGCTATATAAATAAACACATTTTACAAAACTGTGTCTTTGTGATTAAATAATAATGAGTCAGCATATTATTGTTGTCTAGCGATAATTTTGTATAGCTAGACAACTGTAATAAAATATATAATTTTAAATTTTATTTTTAATAATATACTTAGATTGTCTTTTTTTAGACATGACTAGATGGTAGACGAGATTTTGTAATAAATACCTTGAACAATAACACACATTCACACATTCACACTGTATAATCCAAGTTCAACTTTTAAATTAAGACGAATAATATTTGGCTGTCCGCTGTTTATTTATTTAATAAGGTACACCTACAACTTTATACATTTTACATTCTATGTAATCAACAAACACAAAAATAACTTTGCCTAATGTAAAAGTGTTAAAACAGGCGATTATCGCATGCACTTTCCTTAACAATGAGAAATAAACACTTTAAGAGTTTATGTCTAAAATTTTCCTTAATAAATTATATCTGTCGTTAGTGGGTCCGAAGTTGATGTCAATCAGATCGCTGTGGGCGTTTAGAATTCTACATAATGTGGGTACAAGCGAATTGGATCCTAACACGGTTTTGCTTAACGGAGGACATAAAGGTGTTATCTGTTTTCGAAGTGTTATAGAAAGAACACGAAAGTTTAATATTTATATAGCTTATATTAGAGCTGTATACTATATAATAGAGCCTCGATAATCCAAATACCCAAAATTTACATGTTATTCGGATCTACAGAGCGTATGGATTACAGTATGTAAGGTATGTTGAAAGGTGTTTTTTTTAATATATAATATGATATAAAGTACGCACAAGGGCCCAAATGAGAAGTTAAGTGCGGAAAAAAGATTCCAGTTTATAATTTTGCATGATATAATGATGGCTAAATTTGTAATTTATCCGCACTATTGTATTATAAAATAGCCAAATTATTAGCGGGAATATAAGGCAACATTAGAAAAAATGCAGCAACCTTATTACTTGGTGCCGTTATATATTATTGTAGGTTAAAATGATCTGGTAAAAAAGCCCACCTTGGTAAATGGATTCAAAAGAATATTTTTACGGAATTAAAAATAAAAAAAAAATAATATAAACACTCATTATTTTAATTTTTATATGCCTTATAAATTATTTGACATGGCAATTTACTAATTTACTAAGTCACATTGGTAAATCCTAAGATACTGGTAAAATCATGGTTGGGCTTTTACAGTAACATCTACACTTCATCAGAGAAAAACTGTACAAAAGTCGTTTGCTTGGCCACCTCTGTTCCATTCGTGTTTCTACCGTAAAGCAGTTGTTTGTATGACTGTGTTTCGGTTTAAAGGGTGGGATATAGCAGTGAACTTACAGGGTACAGTGGAATAATTCCTTAGTCCTCAGGAATGCCAACGCATGGGACGTATCATTGGCGAAACAGTATACTCTGTTATGTTCATGGTACTGCTCATGTCTATAGGCGACGGTTACCACTTTCCATCAGGTGGGCCGTCAGCTTGTTTGCTATTCTAAGTTGCATAAAAAATCCCTTAAACACCAGTCAACAAATATAAAAATGTTTAAAGAAAGTGTAGTTGAAGGTTTTTGTATTTTTTTCAATATTCTGGGTGAAAAGTTAAGCATTGTACAATAATTTTAAGGTGAACTATTTATATACCTTTTAAAGTACAGGCGAATTCCCTTTCTCCATATGTATACTAAGAAGGAGTATTAGTCTCTATGGCTTTAGTGTAATTGAATTTTTTGTTTAGTATTTTTCTTAATTTCATTTTATAAAATCAATACTTGGAATAACTTTGTTTCCTTGGTCTGCTAAGTGGTTTATAAATAAAAAAATAATAATTCGTTTTATAATAGTCGCTTTAGGTTCTGTTAATTAAAAAAATATTCCATTTTCGATCTATTTTTCCTGTACTAATATGCCTTTGGCTAATAAATTACCATTTTCTATTAGGTTGAATGTTAACAGTCTATATAACTTTAGATTAGAGTTATCATTATGGCCTAATATAAAGATTATTTGCAGATGATTTCATTGTGTTTTCTACAGTGATTAATCGCTCGTAGTATTAGTCGTAACTTACGTTTTTGTATCGTTTTTATTTCATGCTGCAATGTAAGTATTTGTAATACTTTATGACATTATGCTTAGATATTTTACTAAATAGTATATACAGAAAATTACAGGACATGGGCTTATAGTCCTGTAGAACGGCAATGCATGCATCTTAGTTTATTCTGAGATATCTATAGATATCTATATATAACCTAATCTCAATGGAAATGGGATCTTTAATTTAATATTCAATAGAATTTATTACAATCTAGTTCCACAAAAGAACCAAAGTGACCAGCATAGTCCAAAGGATACGCAAGTTGAAGTGGCAATGGGTAAAACGTCGGTTCCGCCGATAAGGAAGAAAGGTTCTTAAGTTGCGACTTTGTACTGTGCCAGTGGACACAGGTAGCTCAGGACCATTGCTTATGGCAGCCTATGGGACAGGCCTACGTTCAGCAGTGAATAGATTATTGTAATATGATAATGATGATGATTAGAATCTACTTCAGAAAAATACCATTCCCTTTAGAAATAATGAAATTTAATTAGAACGGTATTACGGTCTCGTATTGAAGATATTGTTTGAAATTGATGCACAAAATTTTAATGTAAACCAAATACCAAATCCAAACCTGAACTTGATATTCACTTTGATAGTTCATGTTTAAATTAAAAAGTTGATTACCTCGCCATTGTGTTTTATTTATTTATAATTTAATTTAAATTGAAATGATTTTATCATAAGTTCCATTATATGTGTATATAATTAATATTTTTATTTATTTGATAACTTTTAATAATTTAATTCAATTTTAATGTGTCTCGAACATAAAGCATGCCGTGGTTACCTTTACCTAAATGTAAGAACAGTTAGCCCTAATGTGGATTATATTGAAATGCTTCGCTGTATCTTATGTTGGTAATCCTATAAACAAATAAGGTTTTAACTTTAATACGTCTAGATATTGTAAAAGGCGAATCAGACATCATATAGTGCCATGTACGAGTTAAGAGGTTTTGGCTAAATTAAATCTACATATTTAGAGATTTCCATTTGTTTGTTTTAAAAGAGTAAAACTTTATATAAAACTATAATTCAAGCCTTAATACTGATTGTTTCTTTCTTTTTTTCTTTCTTATTTTTTTTATATATATTTTTATACCACAAAAGTGATAAACAAGCATACAGCCTGTCTGCTGGTAAACGATCACTGTAGCCTATGGACGCCTGCAAGACTAAAGATGCCACGTGCGCGTTGGCGACCTTCAAGAAATCTTTCTTCTTCTTAATTCAATTCTTAATTAATTTTTAATTCAATTTTTTCTTCTTAGCCTCCATTTACAATAATAATGTAATTAATTGATAAATAATGCAATATTTTTGTATTATAATATTTTATTTTTCAATTGACTAGCATTGGTTTATCTGCATCTTGATTGTCTTTTGGTTTCTTTCTAAATGAATTAATTAAACAATCGTCAGCATACACCCTTTTATTCCCTTTAAAGTATGCTTCTATTTCTGCCAAAGATTTACGCTCAGTCTCAGGTAAGAACAGGTATAAATATATAGTGCCGGCTATACCGAATGCTGCGTAGAAGGCAAATGTACCACTAAGGTGGAATAATGTCTCCAAGTTGTAATTGGTTTTCGTTGCAACAAAATATACAACATAGCTATAAGCAGCTGCAATACTGGTGGCGATACCGCGACTCCTGCAATAATATAATTTATGACTTTAAATAAAAAATAAAAAACTGAAGTAGATGTAATTAGCTTATTTTAGCAAGCACTACTACATTAATATTTTACAAAAGTAATATGTTAGAATTTATAAGTGCTGTGACATACATGGTTACTAATATCATAAATGTGAAAGTGAGTTTGTTTGTTTGTTATCTTATAGTTCCTTAACGGCTTGTACACGTACTGATGGAAAAGAATATAGGCTATTTTTTTATCCCGGTCAGTAAAAAATATATCCCGGCTACATGGACTTAGTTGAGGATAAAAGCAAGTAATTTATATCATAGATTAAGAGATACATAATAATATTTCAGTTTAAAAGTAAAAAAAAAACACTGTAAACATTGACACAAGAGGCATTATAAAATAAAACAAAAATCAATAAATAAATAATAAAAATTGAAAAAAAAACAAAAGAAAATATGGTTATTTGTATCTAAGAAGTACCAAGAACAAAACAATATCTTTCCTGATTATATTAATGTTAATATTTATAAACGATGGTCACTTTTAATCATTATATTACCCCAAAATATGTATATAATTATCGTAATAGCTGTTACCGTGGCTTTACCCATGTGAATCAATACATAAAGTACCCCATTTGTTAATTTAATATGTAACATGTTCGTGTACCAAAATTGTACCAAATTCAAATCCATTCAGCCGTTTAAGCTTGATTGAGTAACAAACATATAAACATCTTAACAAACTTTTATAAATATGTAATTATTAAAATTGTCCGACTTAATTAATAGTTAATTATGTTAATTGGAATAAATAAAAAAATTAAAATTGTGTAAAATGTAAAAATATTTGTTAAGTTTTATCATTGATATGCATGTATATTCTTAATTTTTTATGTATTTATTATTAGGTCTTTTATTGCAGCAGTTACAAAAGTTTCAAAAGGTAGTAAAACGCAAAATTTGACATTTGTTTGTAAGAGTCTGGTGCTCAGCTAGATTAAAACCTGTATAACAGGTCATCAGATCATAATTATGTGTTTCACAAGTAAATTATCTGATATTGGATTTGATTACCTGAAAGAGAAGACTTCAGATAACAGCACCCAGGGAATTCCCAAGCTGTTAAAAAAGACTAACAGTATAAGTAGCACGAGTGGTAAAATATCTTCATTTTTTGGAAACGTATTTAGCTCATATGAGCACACATCTGGTGCTAGACTCGTGGCAGCATAGATGCTAATGGCGAGACAGCAGAGGGCGTTGCAGAGAAGCGCGCTAAGAATCAATTTTCTCTTGCCAATATATTTGATTATAATAGCTGCCACGAAATTTATTGGTATTAATGCAGCTCCGACGAAAACCTGAAGTAAAAATGACAACTTATTGATATAATTATTGATTAATTTTTAAATTTATATAATTTGAATTTATGGTATAAAATAATATTGCGTGGTCCCGACATAGAATTAGCTACGCTTTTCTTTCCCATAGGTGGTGTGAGAGGCGACAAGGGAACTAAATGGTCAAGGGATGAGCAGTAGCGTTCCTCTTAAAACATCACCAAAGTCTATCTGCGGTTGTCAACTTGTCAAGCGTGGCAACTACTGGCAAACCCTTTCTTATGGGGGAGGCCTATGTTCATTAGATGAATATAATTTTTTTATTTTTTTTTTAATATATTCGAAGATATGGACGATATCGAAGTGAGTGATGACCTTTATTCTGTCATCAATGTCCAGAGAAACCCAATATATAGATATCAAATTGATATCATATTATCCATGCCTAGTAATCAGTCTTAAAACTTGGCGTGAATTTACTGGGTACAGAGGAATAACACCTGAGTCCTCAGGAATGGCAACGCATGGAGGGTATCATGGGCGAAACAGTATACTCTGTTATGTCCATGGTACTGCTCATGTCTATAGGCGACGGTTACCACTTTCCATCAGGTGGGCCGTCAGCTTGTTTGCCATTCTAAGTTGAATAAAAAAAAATCTTTCAACGACCTTTCCTATTTTACCTAAAATTATCACCTAAAACGTAGATCATTGTTTTTTTATTTATAAATTTTAACTGTCATTTTGTTAGTATGATAATTCTTACTTATACCATATCCATGGAGCGTTTTAAAATGTAGAAGTCACATTATATTTGGGCTAGAGACGTTGCATTGTATCTCGGTTTATCAACAGACCTCAATCGTAGACGAAACCGCGAGTAAAAACTAGTTTTTTTTTACATATTATTTAGAAATTGTATGCTTACCACAATGACTTTAGAGTCGTATTTCATGCCTAAAGCTTTACAAAAATTTACCATATTTGGTCTAATTGCCATAAATCCACTCATTGAATGAAATAAGAAATATGCCATCACTAGTAACAGTGGCTTTGTCGTTTCTTTGACTAGTAATATATATTTAACTTTATATTTAATCTTTTGGAAGATATTCATTCTGGAATGTTCGCAATTTGTTGTTTCACTTTTTTGTTCCTTGATACAAATCATACATTGTTGAATTTGATCACCATATTGAATTAATTTATCAAATTCTTCTTTGACATCTTCTGGCTTTACCCAACCTCTGAGTCGACAAAGCGATTGTAGTGCTTCCTTTTTACGACCTTTTGACAATAACCAAACGGGAGTTTCTGGTACCTAAAACGAATTACATTGAGTATATTTGTTAGGTAATAATTTCTAAAACTAATCACTAAAATTACGTATTGCAAAATCTTTTAATAAGGGACCGTTTACTTTATGTACATTTTCAACCAAATGTTTACAAGTATAATATATATAGTAATATAGCTAGGCATATCGGGGTTTAAAAAAACCGCACTGATAAAATATTTCATAGCTTATATTTTTTTTATGTGCGAGGGTTTATATTACCTATTTTATCATGGGAGAGGGAATTATTAACAATAAGGTTTAGTATCCCCATCGAATCTTATATAAACCAACGTGGTTACTTACTGATAAACTCATTACAACGTACTAACTGACTTAACTGCGTCCTCATCTATCATTCTTAATTGGCGCTTCGCCAGTGTATACCAGTAACGTTGGTGGGATTATTCTATTTCTAAAAAACACCTTTATCCTAATAATTAAGATAATAATTATATCTTGCCCTTTATACTTAATTTACATAAAAATATGAATAACATACAAGCAAGACTAGCAGCATGGTTAGTAAAGGAACTGTGAGAGCGACCAGCGCAGCTTGTCTCCAAGGTAACACAGTTCCTAGCAAGTAAGCGACGAAGATGCCTGCAGAGGTGAAACCATTTGTCAGAGTCGTGAGCAAGCCTCGGAGTGATGGGTCACTGAAAGGAATAACAGAAAAAAAATTAGGACTTCTAAACACCTTGATGATTTCTTTTTTTACTTCTCTTTTTATTTCTCCTCTCTAAATAATAATTGAGACTCTGTTTTACCACAAAATATTGATTTCAATCATGGTATAACCAGTTATTTTAATTTGAAATTAGACCATTGAATTAAATTTAATAAAATTTCTATCCTTTTAGAGAAAAAAATGGACTCGTAAAAAATACTTTCATCTAATGTATGACTATAGGAGTCGTGCAATAAATGATTTCAATTTGTATTTAAAATAAAAAAAAATCCAAATCGGTTTATAAATAACGGTGTATTAAAATAACAAACATAAAACATACAACCAAATTGAGTATATATATATAATATATATATATATATATAATGTATGTATAGAATATGAATCTCTTACTATTTAAAGTCGGTTGAAAAGAAAGTTGAAGAAAGAAGATCTAAATTCCAAACGTCATTAGTCACTAAGCAAAATTTTATATACATATACACAATAACTCTGAATCATACTGTTCAACAATTCGTCAACTTTACTTTGGACATTTTATTGCATAAAATATGAGATTATTATTGTTCCAACAATGAGTTTCCTTTAAATATGATCTAGGGAATTCCGTACAAATGTATAATGAGGAAATATATTATCAGATTTATTCTATCGTCCAGATAGTAACGGTGTGTTTAAAGGAAACGAAATAGTACGATCAGATTTCGAGAGGCGAAGTAAAGATAAGGTTGTTTATCATTGTTGTGTGATTTATAAATGATTATAATCTCTCAGAGATAGACTTTTGATTCATAAAAAAACTAAAACAGTATATAAGTATTACCGTGGTACTTACATACAAGCTGAAAAACCTAAGGAAACCGCAGTAGATATTTCCATTTTTTTTTTATAATATTTAAATAGATAGATACTCTTTATTGTTTCCTCCAAAAGCTTATAAAAGATAAGATAAGATATATTTATTTAACAAAGTATGTTTGTATTAGCACAGAATTTATCATTGCTTCCTACACTAGGCTGAGCCTGTCCTGTAGGAAGCAGTATTCGTGTTATCATATACATGCATATAGATATTAAACATAGGCTTTTTAGCAGTACTGACAATTGTGAAACTAATTTATATAATGCAATTCTTATGATTTTTGTTTTTTTTTTTAAGATCTTACCACCAATACACATGTATAAATAAGTATTATGAATGAGTGTGTGTGAATGCGTGTGTGTGTAGTTTATGTGGTGTGTGTATAATAATAGTAAACTTATTATAGATATAAACAATTACAAGAAATGATCACAGTGAGAAAACAATGAGCGTATTGCCAGATAAGCTGGCATAGTGCAGTCTACTCACAAAGTAGAAAAATCTCATTTCGGGTGATTGCATTCATAGATCAGAATGATCCCTGTGGTTTTTCAAAATGGTGTGGTCACATGAAAAATTTGAGGTTCACCAGATCGAAAGTTGTAACTGTTGCTTATAGACATGAACAGCATGGACATCACAATATGATGATGATGATGTCCATGGTAACGCTCATGTGTTGCCATTCTTGAGGACCATGGTCTTATGCTTCTGTACTTTCCTGCAGTACCCTGTAATTTCATTGTTATATCCTACCCTGTATTACGAAATATAGCATGCAAGTACTGCTGCTTTGCGGTTTGAAATACAGACAGAAAGGTATCTATGATCAGGTGTGTGTATACACTTCATCTGGTAGGCAGGTTGATAAGATCAAATTTAAACAAATGAATACCTTACTTCACCAACATACGTAATAGATGGTGCTTCCATAATACCGGTTCCAATGCCGAGAAGGGCATTTGCAATGAAGAGTGACGGCACATCCCATGCGTAGTGCATCAGTAGCCATGCAATAACGTGCGGTATGTTCACGAGGAATAGAGCTCGCTTTCGACCGAAGTAGTCCAGCAGTGGACCCGAAAATAGACTGCCGAAAGGTTGGCATAGAAAAGCCATGCTTCCTGTAAAATAGTAATGCACTGAATATAAATAAAGTTGCTCATTTTGCAGTATATTTCAGAATCTTTTATGACAAATCGTTTAGTGTGCAAACTGTTCGACTATGAAATAGTCTACCAACTTCTATACAAATTATACAGTACCTACCCAGTTTTAAATGAAAAACTAAGGACTTCTTTATGAGCAAGTTGTAATATTCGTAATTTGTGTCTGATTAGGATACTCAAACTCTTTTTAATTTTTATTTTTGTAATAACCAATGTATTTATGTATTTGTATATATATTGTTAAACTATTTATAATTACTCTTCTCCTTCTAAAAGTAAGGAAGAGATCGCTCTTAGCGATTAGGCCGCTTATTGTTTTCTTAGTGTAATATTTTCTTGTAATTGTTTATATTTATAATACATTTTCTATTGTAATCTTATGGAGGAAGCAATAAAGAGTATTTATTTATCTATCTGTTTAAAAAAACAACTTTGCTCATAACAAATTATATTATTCTTAGTATAGTTAGCAGAGAACGAGCTGACAGGATCTATTAGTTGTGGGATTACTAGTTTCCATTATAGATTTTTTTTTTATAGTACGACATGTAGTCACATTGCTGTATAGTCCTGGCAGAGAATGGGCCAACCCTTCCTGTCCCGAGGTGACTAAGGGAATTTAATGGTTGAATGATAGCCAGCAGTGGCCCTCTTAAAACATCACCAAAGCCTTTCCGTTCATAACGAATCTAAGTTTTATTTTACTATAGTGATTTTTTCACGAAAGAAACCGCAAAATGAAGTTAGTTATGGACTATTGATACATAATGATTGCGAAGCGCCTGTGTTAATTGTTAGAGAAACAAAGCGGATCTAAATAAGTCTACATCCACTGCATGAACGGGTGTTCTGTTTTATTTTTTAATGGGTGATAATGGAATGATTGCCCCGCTTGTGCTATCGATATACAATGACGGGGCACCAGTGACTGATAGGTGAGGATGAAACAGGTCAATTGACCCACAGTGACGAATTCATAACATTTTAATCAAGATGGTTTCCAGGGGAAAACCGGGTGAAGGTCGACCAGATAAAGTATATTGCTAGCAATGGGGCTGTTAGATTTCCACTACTAACTTTCCCCTAGGTGTCATGTTACTTCTATACTACACATCTTGCGGTTTCCATAGTATTTAACAAGCTTCTAATAACTGCTCTTGACAATAACTCTGTATAGGGGGGAAAGGGATTGTTAGTAATGGAGACTAAGAATACCATTGCTAGCTATATACCCAACCAGGTCGACCTCCTCGTGGTTCCCCCTGGAAACTATCATGGTTAATTTCTGATGAATTCATCATGATGGGCTAACTGGCCTGTTTTCATTCTCATCTATCACCCTTCACTGGTGCTCCGCCAGCGTATCCCGTTAGCGCGGGCGGGGTTGCCATTCCATTTTCACCTATCAAAAAAAACCCTGTATAAGTTAGAATTACTTGTAACTATAACTGTATACTTCGCGTGTTGTATTGTGATATGGGTAACAGTTCACATTCGTGCAGTATTTACTGTATTGCGTGATATTTCTGGAATTTAAATGTATGTTCCAATATTAATAACTAAAATCTTTACTAATATTATGAGAAATATTTATAATGAGAATATTATATTATATAATGAGAAAGTGAGTTTGTTTGTTTCTTACCACTTAACGCCTTAAAAGTTTAACTAATTCCAATTAAATTTAATATACAGGGATATGGGATGGAGTAAGATAGCGACGGTTACTACTTTCCATCAGGTGGACGGTCAGCTTGTTTGTCATTTTAAATTGCAGAAAAAAAAGATACAGGCTAATTTTTATTCCGGTCAAGTGGACGAAGTCGCGAGTAAACGCTAGTAAGTAATAATTACCTCTGGACATACTGCACAGCGCCATCTTGTTTCAAACTGAGTAGAGTTTTATTTTATTGCTTTAGATATTAGATAATAATTAAATGTTTTTCATGCATTAGGTATATTATTGGCTTTTACCCGCGACTTCGTCCGCGTGACCAGGATATGTTTACTGACCAGGATAAAAAAACTATATCTCCTTTTCCATCCCTTACATATATGCATCAAATTTCTTAGTGATTGGTTAAACCGTTATGCCCTTATAAGGTAACAAACACCACATTTATTATTACAATACTAGTAAGAATATATAGAAACTATCTAAACAAATAGTCATACTCATTAATATAAATGTTTTTATTGTACAAACAAACAGACAGACTGGATAAAAAGTCATAGATGCCTATGTAGGTAAAAAAAGAAAAAAAAAATTATTCAAGTAAAATTAGATTTAAGCACTATATAAATAATAAGTTTGTTTGAACACAAACTACTATAGTAGTATATATATTATACAACTTAGAATGGCAAACAAGCTAACGGCCCACCTGATGGAAAGTGGTAATCGTCGCCTATAGACATGAGCAGTAACATGGACATAAGAGAGTATACTATGCGTTTCCATTTCTGAGGACTCAGGTGTTATTCCACTGTACCTTATAAATTCACTGCTATATCCCACTCTTCAAACAGATACACAGCCACGCAAACAGAACTGCTACTCGGTAGAAACACGAATGGGACAGAGGTGCCCAAGCAAACGACTTTTGTACAAAGTCTCCCTCTAATAAAATTATATAATTAAAACAAATCAAATATAATTATAACGAATAAATCTGGTGTGTTTATCAGACTTTATATATATATATATATATATATATATATATATATATATATATTTATTTCTTTCCTCTGGAAACCATCTTGTTTAAAATATTATGAATTCGTCACTGTGGGTCAATTGACCTGTTTCATCCTCACCTGGGTAATCATTCCATTTTCTATAAAAAAAAAAACAGAAAAATTGTCACTACTATTGACGTTTATAACAAAACATTTGAACGTCTATCTAAGCCGTATCGTATAGTTTTTGTTACATCATACCTTATCATTAGATTATTCTATATTCACACATACCTACTTACCTATCTACTTCTTGTTTATGTAAAAGATTCAAACACAAAAATAAATATAATAAATATAGAGAGGCCACAGTCGTCCCGCGTTAAAATATATGAACCTAACACATTTCTCAGTCATTTAATAACTATTTATATATGTAATTGTAGAACGAGATTTTAATGAACTTCCTGGATCATACTATAAAAATAATTTAAAATACTGGTTAAATAAACTTCATTTGGAATTTTGTACACCAAAATCTATATGTTACCTTAATAAATTTTATTATTATTTTTATTTTTAATAGACAGATAATTTTTTGATTAGACATAAACAGGTGACAGACACGCTTTTGTAGTAAGACGTCTAAATATATTTATTGAATGTCTGCCTATATCGAGGTTAACTTTTTTTATTGGAAATTGTACTATGTTTGTCGTTTCCAACAATTGTTTTGATTCCAAAAGTCTTTTTCGGGGCGAGTATAATACTTACCTCATACCGGTGTTAGGTTAACGTTAATTAAATTCTCTAATTAATTATCTAGTTGTATATTTAATATAGGTTTAAAAATAATCATAAGTTTTAATTATTTTGAAACGTTTTGATGAATTAAAAAACAGATGTCGCTGTTATTTTGACGTTTTCAGTGTGTATATTACACAATATCTTATCAATTTATAATTTAATAATTTTATTATCTTATTTTTCATAGTTTTATTTCACGTATTTATATTCATTTACAGACATAATGTTACGTAAAATAATAAGTAAAATAACTGAGGGATTAACAGTTAATACATGTATGAGTGAACAATGTTCCAATTTTGTTATTCATACAACAAGAATCACTTTTCTTACTCAATTAGGTTATCTTCTAAGTTATCGCAAATTAATCTCAGGTAACCAGTCACTAAACTCTGAACAAATATTACGGTGGTATTAAATGTGTTTACCTTAATCATTTTATAGACTAGATCTTATAAAATTTCAAAACTGCTGTTATTGTGTATTAAATAATCGTTGATGCTATAGATTGCCTGTATTTGGTGGGATTTGGCACTTATTTTTACAAGGTAAACCACTTTTATAATATTGAAATGGTAATCCTAAGCTATCGGTATACGCTGGCGGAGCACTAGTGAGAGCTGATAAGTGAATATGAAGTCCATCGTGAGAAATACTCCAAGTAATTAACCGCGATGGCCGTGTGGCCCCGGCATAGACTAGGCCAACCATACCTTTCCCGTGGGTATCGTAAGAGCCGACTAAGGGAGGGCGAGGGATGGGTAGCAACGTCCCTTTTAAAGACTGATTGTGGTTGCCAATTCGCCTGCCAAGCGTGGAAACTACTGACAAAACACCCTAAGGGGGAGCCCTTAGTTATGTTATTATGTTCAGCAGTGGACAGTTAAAGGCTGATATGATAACCGCGATGGTTTCTAAAAAGGACAGTACATAAGCTAATATAATTTAATAGAGTATATTGCTAACAATGGGGTCCTTAGTCCTTCACATAACTCCCTTGTAGAAGTAATAGGAACAAGTTCCCACTCACAAAGTTAAATTCGAAATAAAATGGTAACAGGATTTTGTTAAAATTTCCATAGAAATACTCATTAAACATTCAATCAATATATATATGTATATATATGGTCGAATAAAATATTTAATTTACAATTTCAATTTTATTAAGTATAAAAACATCAATAATTAGTTGTATCGCTCACGTAAATCAGTACATAAAGTATCCTATATGCTACGTTAGGATATAACCTACTTGTGTACCAAATTTCATTTTAATGCATTTATCCATCATTTCAAACTTTGTCATTTATACGAGTAGTATAATATTATAACAAGAATGTAATATTTATAAAATACAGTACTGACCGAACCAGGAAGCCTGTTTTTTGGTAATGCTAACTCCTTCCTTGGCATCCAATACGTCAGGTAGCACCATTGTCACAAAGCTGATCGACATCCCCAGTCCAATCAGAAGGAAGTCCAGCGCGAGGCATGCCAACACCTGAAGTTAATTATTAAATTAGATATGTAGATAAATTATGTACCATTACAAGCACATAATTTTTGAACTTATAGTTAATGATAGAGTCCTAAAAAAACTAAACTACCCAACTAATTTGGATAAAAATTTTATAGGACCAATCTGTAAGTAATCTGTACATCCTTTCAAAAAAAAAAAAGATTTTTTAAATATGTTTAAAATTGATGGAGTTATATGGTAACAAAAGAAAAAAAAACATACGAGTGAATTGGTTGAAATTTGGTAAAAAAAAAGATGTTTCGAGAACTCTAATTTTTTCAAAGTTATTTTACAGTCGTCTAATTTTGTATACTTAATTTTTCTAATTAGTACTATTATTATTAGTACGATTGAAGTTGAAAGAAGTTACTTTACCAGAGGCAGTTTGTATAAAAGTCGACTGCTTGGGTACCAATGTTCCATTCGTGTTTCTGCCGTGAAGCAGTTGTGCTTGCATGGCTGTGTTTCGGTTTGAAGGATGGCATATCTATATGCCAATGAAATTACAAGGTACAGAGACATAACACCATAGTCCTCAGGAATGGTAATGCATGAAGGTTATCATAGACAGCACAAATACTCTATTATAGGGGGGGAGGGATTGTTAGTAATGGGGAGTTTAGTCCACATTGCTATCAATATACCCTATCAGGTCGATCTCCACGCAGTGTGGCAACTACTGGAAACCCCCTCCCCCACGGGGGAGACTTATGTTCAGCAGTAACCAGTAAAGAGCTGACGTGATGATGATGATGAAAGACATACCTGTGATAATATAACTCTGCTGCGACTCACAGGTTTGCGCTCTTGACCATTCTGATTATTAGTCATATTAAAAAGTTATAACAACTTTTTAAAATAAAATTTCACAGGCAAAAGTATGATAAGGTGAAGTACGATCACGATTCTCATATCATTTGCTACTCATTTTGTCCAAGAAACACGCACTGTTATTCCTGCAAAGTAATGAAGACATTTTATCTGTTATTGCTTTATACTTTGTATATTATAATAACTTATAAGAAATACTGATAACTTGAAATGGTATGCGAATAAATTATACCTTTACATATTCATTTATTTATAAAGCATAAGCTGTCTGAGATAGTAATGCATTGCACCTTGCATAAAAGAATATTGTGTTAAAAATGAAATAATTCTTACACCAATTTCAAATAAACATTGCGAGTTAAATACAGGTTCAAAATATAGGGAGCTATCTTTATATATATATATTATAGAATATTTATATTATAAACTAGTTTTTGTCTGCGGCTTTGTTTGTGTGGATTTTGCAAGTAGAAAACTACTTCTAGATGGGGCATGACGGCTGACGGCCTACCTGATGGAAAGTGGTAACCGTCGCCTATAGACAAAGTACCATGGACATAACAGAGTATACTGTTTCGTCCATGATACCCCCCATGCGTTGCCATTCCTGAGGACTCAGGTGTTATTCTTCTGTACCCAGTAAATTCACGCCATATCCCACCCTTCAAACCGAAACACAACCATGTAAACACAACTGCTTCACGGTTGAAACACGAATGGGACAGAGGTACCCAAGCAATTGACTTTTGTACAAAGTCTCCCTCTGGTAGTCTATCTACTACTTATATATATTTACATGCATATTATAAAAATGTAATTAATTTAATTTTTGTGCAAATATCTACATTTTCACTGTAGCTTTGCAATACATATACGCCAACATTATGTATATACGCAGAAATCTTCAACTGTATCTAAAACAAAGATCTTAATAATCTTAATACTAGATACAAATCCAAACTTGCTGTTTCGAAGTATCATTTAGAAAATGTTAATAGATATTTTATGGGAATGGACATAAAATGTTATAATAAGATACCGAAGAAAATTTTGGATCTATTTTTTTAATAAGTCTATTATGTATTTAATAAACACGTATTGAACAAAGCCTGTTACACACTAAACAATTATTTGAATGACAAATGTGCATGGTGTTAGTGGATCATGCACGGGCTTTTATCGACCATGTAATTTTACACATAGTATATTTTTCACACATAATATTAACAAAGATTTAAAAGAGTATCTGTTGAGTTTCTCGCGGGTTCTTCTCAACAGATAACAACTTTTCGAACCCTGCATTCATAAAAAAAATTACAAATTAAAAAAGTAAATAGGTCTGTTTAATTAAAGATTAGATAACCATAAATTTGAAAATATATTTGCACAAAAATTAAATCATATTTTAATTATTTTTAAATAAATAATTTATATTTCTATCTGTACTTTATGTTATAACTATTATAAGATAATTTATGATGGGATTTACAAAGAAATTAATAGAAATTGCTAATATGGATAAGATAATGAAAACTGAATGATAACTATACCTGTGTAAAGGAAACTAGTGTTGTAAACAATTGTGCACTGTTTAATTCCATTGTATATATAAGATATATTACTTAACTAGTAATTATGGCCAAAAATAGTCTAAAATCATGTGAACAATTATAAAGGGTTGAAATAAACCTTATCGTTATTAAATTATGGTTCAAATTTAGCGTATTTGATTAAATATATATTTCGTTTAATGAACTCCAAACAATATAGTAGCGAATTGAGAAGAAGGTAAAAAGGACATGTTATTTTTGAAGTTATTTTAATAAAGAAAATATTAGTGATATGACTACAAAGTCGAAAAATATAATATTGTTGAATATAGTAATAGTTTGTATTTATTCAGATAAGTAATGACGTTTCTTTCTTTATTTATTTATTTAAAGAAACACCAACAGCATATTGCATTATAACCTATATAACAAACATTAAATATAATACAATATTAATACACATGCCTATTTACAACAGGTATTCACAACATTTACTTTAACATAGTTATACAGTGCGAGAAAATGAAGTAACAATTATAATGAATTAAATAACACTAGACTACAAATATTTTAAAAGTTGTGTTGTTAGTTATAGAAATAAACATGTAACCTAAGTTGAGAGCAATATTAGAAAATACGATTATAAGTAAATTCAATTAAAAAATATTAATATGTAATGTATAATATAAAATGTATATATATATATATATATATATATATATATATATATATATATATATATATATAATGATATTTAGAGTTACTTTTTATTAGATTATTGTACAAAGTGTTGACATCATCAATTGATATTTAAAAACACTATGAATAACCTAGATTGTAAAATAAAAACCATTAATCTCTTTTTAATAATCGAACATTATTCATAAAGAAAAATAAGTAGAAAATTAATATTTAAGCATCTGACTTCAAAAAGAGGTAGGTTCTTAATTCGGTTGTATTTTTATGTTTGTTACCTCATAACTCCAGTTATAGGCCGATTTGGAAAATTCTTTTATTATTTGAAATGTACTTTTAGATTGATTTCATAGAAATTTTATCAAAGTCTGTTTAATAGTTTTGTTTTTAAATAAAAATAACTGTATTTGCCACAATTGAAGTCAGTTTTATTTTATTAAACGTAATCTTATTATTTTGAATCTGTAGTACTAACACGATGCGTTCTATTGTTAAGTTGCTAAAGTTAGCTTTCAATTTATTAAAAAATTCAATTAAAAAAAAACACTATATAATACGTATTATAAAGATCTAACTAACCATATCGTTGTTAATGTTCGGTGGAATTTGGAAATTATCTATAAAAAATTAGAACACTTGTATTCTTTATCACTCGTGTTATACAATTGCACAATAGTTTTATATGTTTATTGTCATTTATAGAGGCTATAGTACCTGCGTAGTATCTTAATTATAGTACGTATAGTAAACAATAGAATAAATTAAAATCCAATTAGTTCTAAATAGATACGTTTAATTAATTTCATATTAAAGAAATCGTTAAAAGTCATTGACTCTTAATGATATTAAAAAAAATCAAGTCGTAATTTTAATTTGAGGCTCTATTATAACTTGCTATATTTTTTTGTAGTTAAATATGATTGCTTCATTATTATTATTTAGTGATATTATTATTTTTATTATTTATTTATTTATATTATATCCCAAATAGAGTTGACGTCAGGCAGGCGACCGGTCGTAAAACTATAAGCCAAATCCTTTTGTAATATGGATAAAAACATATTACGCCGACCCCAAATAATAATTGGGATAAGGGTAGGAAGATGATGATTATTTTTATTCACTTTAATATCACCAGTGACAAATAACATAAAGTGATTTTTCTCTCACGATGACTTAATGTCGCCGTTGTTATTGTTTGCCATTAAAAGTGAAATATGATTTTATGATAAGAGCGTGCGATAAATTACTTTAAAGGAGTGTGATAAACTCTATTTTTACTCGCTCTGTCTGTCTCGTAGTAGTAGTGTGCTCTCGCTTAGTCGGCCGTCTATTGTGATTTCACTGCTAACCGAGCGCAGCCGATGTTTCACGAATAAATCCGAAAGCAGAGACTGCGATTTCACTTTAAAGTGATTTGTAGCACTCTTCGAATTGCGATATATCTAGTGTGAAGTGTGATTGTGGCGTAGCATATGAAATTTCACTTATGACATCTGAAATATTCCAAGCCTATTAATTAGAAACCAAGGTTATCATTTATTTATTTAGGCATATCAACAATACAAATACATACATTGACAACATACAAACTAAATCGCATCAGTTACAGACCTATAAAACATTGAAATAATACGTTGACACAAGTTTTATGCAAATATACGTATATATTTACCAGAGGGAGACTTTGTACAAAAGTCGTTTGCTTGGGTACCTCTGTCCCATTCGTGTTTCAACCGTAAAGCAGTTGTGTTTGCATGGCTGTGTTTCGGTTTGAAGGGTGGGATATGGCGTGAATTTACAGGGTACAGAGGAATAACACCTGAGTCCTCAGGAATGGCAACGCATGGGGGGTATCATGGGCGAATCAGTATACTCTGTTATGTGCATGGTACTGCTCATGTCTATAGGCGACGGTTACCACTCTCCATCAGGTGGGCCGTCAGCTTGTTTGCCAGTCTAAGTCGTATAAAAAAAAATATGACATAACAAAGTATGCTGTTTCGCTCATTATACTCCCTATGCGTTGCTATTCCTGAGAACTAAGTTGTTATTCCTCTGTACCCTGTAAATTCACAGTCTAGGATATGAGTGTGAATTTACAGGGTACAGTACCTTCAAACCGACACATAGCTATGCAAACACAACTGCTTCACGGTTGAAACACGAATGGGACAGAGGTAACCAAGCAAACAACTTTTGTACAAAATCTCCCTCTAGTAATATTTGTGAATTAAACAGAAAATATAAAAAGGGATTTAATAAAAAAAGTTAGGGCTGAATCGAGTCAATAATTACATTGAGACAATGTTTCAACCTTAAGTGATTATAGCTGATCATGAGGTGTAATTAGGTTCACTTTATGCGGACTATTATAAGTGATTATCAATCTAGTAATAGGCGCGTGTAACCTCAATTAGTTTCTGTAAAGAGGAACTCTGAAGAAATATTTATTAACCTTTTTCTTTTGGGATTGTCAGTAATGGAGACTGAGAATCCCATTGCTAACAATATACCCAACCAGGTCGATTTCCTCGCGGTTCTCCCTGGAAACTATCATGGTTAATTCCTGATGAATTCATCGTGGTGGGCTGACTAGCCTGTTTTCATTCTCATCTATCACTCTTCACTGGTGCTCCGTCAGCATATACCGTTAGCACAGGCGGGATTACCATTTTCACCCATAAAAAAAACCTTTTTCTTTTTGAAGTCGGCTTAAAATTAAATTCTCAATTCGGTTGTATTTTTTATGTTCATTATAACTCCGTCAGTTATAAATCTATTTGGAAGATTTTTTTTTATCTAAAAAGGTATATTTATATATTGGTCTCATAGAAATTTTATGTAAATCGATTCAATAGTTTACTTTTTAAATTAAAATTACTGTTTTCACAGAAATTGATATCGATTTTTTTCTATGGAACATAATCTTTATAACTCTTAAATATATATTTATCGATCATTTAGTTCAGGGACGCACAAAGGTTTTATTATGTCAAATAAATCATCATAAGTCTCATCCTAAATGATTTTTTGATGAAACTCGAGGTCATATGTTTCCTGTCTGCCAGGTTTTAAAAAAAAGATAGCTTCTTATCGTAAGAACATTAACGACTAACATTCTTACTATATATATATATATATATATATATATATATATATATATATATATATATATATATATATATATATATATATATATATATATATATATATATATATATATATAACAAACAATTAATTTATAAGTGATAAAATTCTACGCAAAACCAACAGGCTCACTAGTCTAGTCTAGTTTTATAGTGAAAGATCTTTTCCTGTAATTTGTTATAACCTTAGATATTAATTTTTCTCGAAAAGATTGCAACTAAGATACAAACCTTAACCTAGTTTAGAAGGTTTGCCTTGCAGTTAATATCACATGATATGTAATTACCAGAAATCAATATGTAAGACTGAGAAATATGTGTTTGTTTCTTGTTTCTGTAAATAATTATTAACGCCATTCCTTAAAACTAGTGTTATTTATTTAATAATTTTAAAGAGTAATTAAATAAATTGCACCACTTAAATATAATACAAAATAATATACATATATACGTATATATATATATATATATATATATATATATATATATATATATATATATATATATATATATATATATACGCAAACAACTTGTACGACTTGTACAGAAACACTTTTAAATCATCATTTTTTATGAATCTTCTGCAAAGGTCGGAATGTTATCTAGTGAGAAAAACCCACAGGAAACTCAACAATTACTCTTTTAAATCTATGTTAACATTATGTATATTTATTTAAATATACTACGTCTAAAATTACATGGTCGTTAACGAACCCGCGCATGATCGACTAATACAATGTTTACAATGCACCTTTGTCATTTAAGTAATCATTTAGTGTATAATAATAAGTGTTTCTTTAAATTTAATAAATGTGGTTCCAAAATATCGTGTTATAATATTCAATGCCCATACCCATAAAAGACCTATTAACTTGTTTAAATGATATTTCGGTTCAGCATATTTGTGTTTTTATCTAGCATTATTACAAATATGTATAAAAAAGCAAATATGTCTATCTATTCAGGTCATATATCTAATTGAAATATAAATATCATAAATTTGTTTTATAAATATTTATTTTTACCTTTACTAAGATTTAAAAAATTCGCCAATTTTATCAATAATCACAATAATATTATTTAATTTTGATTTTAGAATATATGTAGTACTTCACTAATAGAAAGGCATTATTTTATTTTATACTTTCGAGACGTTAAAACTAGTATTAAAAACTTTTAAAATTTATCGAGTACAAAACAAATTCTTATAAAGTCTGGCATATAATAAATAGATGAGAAATGTATTTTTTAAACTTCGTTTAAAAAAAGAACTGAAACGTCACGTTCTGTCACAATTAGCAAGAGTCGACCGAACCGAGCGATCGGCGGTCATCAGGCCGCGACACTGATTGACCGACATACCGATATGGTTTAATTAAGCAAAATTAATAAGCGGTAGCCATGAATAAAACATAGATATTATAATTTGTCTGTCTAAATACTAAACGACCATGTTGTTTTGTGAAAGTTAGAAAAAAATAGGAGGCGCACGCGCACGCTTGATTTAATAACCCTAACTTTTTGTTGATTTAATTTTCTAAAGGTAATAATTTTTTTTTATCAATTCTTTTCCTTTACATATACATTTAAATGGTTTTAGTTGTTTCCTTTTAAATAAAAATTATAGATTTTAGCATACCTTAGGGGGGTTATGGTAAAAAGGGATGCCTACTATGCGAATTGAATTATTTGTGTAACGTGGTTATTTACCATTTGTACCAGATATATTACTACCTTATAACGTGATCATTTAGTTTAATAATTTACCTAGACTATCACCTTATCATCATCATCATGCCATCATCATCCATGCCATAAGGAATAGTCCCGAATCAACTCCATCTACTGAAAACCTACAATTAATTTGAGGTCGTTGTTCTTTCTAGGGGAACACTCCCCTAGAAAGAACAACGACCTCAAACTGAGCTATTATACTTCAATATAAAAGTTAATTACTTACGATTATTTACAGTAAACAATTACAATCTCCACCAAATTAATATGATAATGAATGTTTTTTATGCAACTTAGAATGGCAAACAAGCTGACGGTCCACCTGATGGAAAGTGGTAACCGTCACTTATAGACATGAGCAGTACCATGGACATAACATAGTATACTGTTTTGTCCATGATACCACCCATGCGTTGCTATTTCTAAGGACTCAGTTATTCCTCTGTACCCTGTAAATTCACTGCCATATCCCACCCTCTAAACTGAAACACAGCCATGCAAACACAACTGCTTCACAGTAGCAACACACACTAATAATGAATGATTAAAATTGGTTTGTAATTAGTGAAAATAGTCATAAAAAAATATTGTCGACTTAAAGAACCTCTTTCGCTTTGAAATTGGATAAAAATAATAAAGGAAGTTTGACAATTTGCTAATATCGTTTTAAAAGGCGTCGCTTCTTATAGCCCACGAAAACTTATAAACAAATATGTAATAATATCTTCACTTGCTGCTAGTAAAAATTAGGCGCTAATTATTTATTTATTATAATCTCTATAATAAGATAAATAAATAAAAA